GCTAGCTGCCACCTCTCACCACAACCTTAGTGAAGGGTTTAAAATTTAACATTTATAGGGACCTAATCTGATGGCTTGTACTAAACTTCGGTCATTTAGAATTTCGGAAAAATGTTAATATGTGATATTTCACGATTGTAATTTATAACATATGGTCGTGCCTGTAAAAATGGCATGCATTTCATGTGAACTCACTGGTTTATGCGAAATAAATTATTATTACCTTTCTGTCGAAAAGTAGACTGAAGTTGCATCCTGCCACTAATACACCTGTTTCGTATGTTATTTCAGTCCTAATAATCATTTTTTAACCACTAAGGTATTCTGAGCTCATTCAGGAAACACCTGTGGCTGAAAAGGATGTAGAAGCTGCACCTGCGACTCATTTTTTGACCATTTATTATTCAACAGCTTTTCTAAAGAGACTTTGTGATGTTCAAGCTGAAGTGCAGTTACTGAATGCAATTATCCACGATGGGACAGTTGATGAAAATGAACACAACATAAAGCTCTCCATTAAATCAGTAGGAATGCTGTAAATTGTTATCAAGAAACTCTGCTAGATGAAGTACTTCAAACATAGGGAAAGAAGTGTTACTTCAATGTCTACTATTACTATCTTTCAAAGTTCAAAGCGACACCAAAACAGTAAGTTATAATTTGCCTAGTGCTAAATTTTGCTAAGGGAACACTCTATTTGATAGTGAGGACCACGAAAGAATGCCGACATAGCCACAGAATAAAAATGAAGGATAGACCGTCGTCAGAAAAGATGGGCAAATATAAAGTGTTTAACTCTTATATTACTTTCTTTTATTTTCCATTAATTCAGCAATACTCTTCATTCACTTGCAGAAGTCCATAAACGTCAGTCAACCTGGTCACAGCAATTCAACACCTCCCAAATAACTACGACAAACAACTCCATACAGACATTTGTTTGTTATTATTTTTCACCAGATATACCTCACATCCTGCTTACTACACTCTTCCTACTCTATTTGATTGGGAATTTGTTATCATGACTAGATGAGGTCTTGGCCTATTAATTAGACCTGGGAGAGTAATAGATGTCATAACTCAGTGTGACTGAAATAATTCTGCGATTATTACAGCCCTATTTGCTAAATTATTCATCCTATGTAAACATCATGTTGAACTAATTGTCAAGATGACCCTTAATCATATGGACTGATATCACGCTTCAAATGGAACAAAGGCAATGTACTACTTTTGAATACACTTAATCTACGGTGGAATCATACCCTACCACTTTGCCAAAGTTCTCTTTTTATATCATGAATACACAGGTTCGGTTTTTAATAATTGATCCATACAGATTCACCTACGGCTAGTAGACGTAGTCGTGTAACTTCAGGCATATGTTCAGGTTTGATGAAGTCCTTATAATTTATCACCTATATCAATCGAAAGTGTTCGTCCGTAATTACACTCACGAACAGTGAGACGTTCCTAAGTTAGGGAGTGCTGGTCTAGTACGCCGTACTCCCACCACAAGCATATCAAGTAGAACACAAGAATATTCCAACAAAATTTTTGTTTCAGCGCAACTCGAATAAGTTTATTGGCATATCTGAACTAAACGCAGTCCAAAATGAAGGCATTTTCGAGAAGAATTTCCTTTTATGCAGTGGAAACTGTTCAGTGTCCAAATTCTTTTTCGCTTCAAGCAAACAGAACTGGACGCCCAAACGTAAAGGTATCCGGTATGACAAACTAGTACAAGGAAAACCTGCATGGCTTTTAGCGAATTGGTAAACCTAATCTCCCTAATTGTTGTGTATAGAATCAGTTTGCCCGAATGATCATAAAAACCTATCCGATGATAATTCGCAAGACACTTTTTAATGATGTCTTCGTCCCAATGTAACCCCTTCAGCTTTCCACGGAATTTAAATGACTGAGAGATCTCGCTACGACTTCATATCCCTAAAGGTAATACAGGCTAAATTCACCGTACGCCACTTCTTGGGAACCACCAAGTAATAATATCTTATTTACATAGTTCAACCATGTACATGATTGCCAGTTATGATCATATTTGACTTAAGCATAAAGTAAATTAAGTCATCATAGTTTGAAGTTGTTTCGAGTTGTAAAACACATTACTTGTACTGTAACAGTAGAAGACAAAAACTTGGCAAAGAAACGTTTATTTGCAATTCGGTTTCTCCATATAGCCAAATTATGCACACCTTATCTTCAAATCACCGTTTGCACAGATCTTCCATGTTGTGCTACTTGTGCCCTTCCTTCATATTGTGTTTCTTTGTGTTCCTTTCATGTCTTCCATGTATTTCCATAAGGATTAATCATTTGCTTTCTCTAATATCAAATCTATCTCCCTGGTATCTGGTGTGGGCTATGGTGACACTTTTAAAGGTCTGGTACTTCGGCAAGAGGTAGGTCAGCCTCTAATAGGCTGCTTACTAAAATATTCGGCAACTCCGCGCCCCCTTCTTTGCTATTCTTGTGTCGTCTAACCACAGTCATAACTCATACTGATTTCATTGTTGTTAATAATATAGGCTAGTCAGGTTTCTATCATGACTATTATTTTGAGGTGTAGGCGTTACTGGAGGTTTCTGGGTAGAGTTGTTTTTCCATCAACCTTCTTACATAAGCAGATGACAGTGAGTTTCACCACCTCACCGTGTTGTGGGATGGTTGTTGCCGTCCAAGCTGCTGGTTGAGGAGTTAGTCGTAGAACCGATTGGCTGATCCCGATGAAGCAGTCCTGTTTTCACTCTTTCCTTAGGTTCATTTAGGTGACATCGGATGTCATTTCCAGCGTTGCACCTCGGTGTTGCCAGTTAGGAATGGGGACGTCTTGTGACCTCACAGTGCTGACACTCTAGAGTCCGAGGTCGGCTTTCGAAGCATCGGACACGTCCCCCAACTTTACACCTGGTCTCACACCATTGTTGAAGTCTGAAAACTGACTATAGCTAACTGCTTCTTACGGCTGAATTTGACAACTATCAGCCATGGTGAGCCGGTCAGTCTAAGATAAGCGGAACAAAGTTACCTGCTAGTCGAGAGGTACCAAGGGCTATCTGAGATCACAGCCATCTTCATGTGTTTGTTTTCAGAAGCAAATCCAGTTTCGAGCTCCGGAACAAAGTGTATGGATATGCAGATAAAGGGCATCAGTTCCGGTGACTGCCACACCATTTTCCAATGGCCTACCAGATCTTGTTCTTATGTTGGAGTATCCTTCGACGGCCAATACAAGTGACAATAATAGCACATTTACAGCGTTTCAGAAGTATCCTTAATGGAGACGTCTAAATACCCCCATGAAGCTGCCTTACTTGATAACATTGCTTGATTCGCTGCATAGATTAGCCCCCTTTTCCTGATAAAACAGTGCCCCTTGTTCCAGCAGACTAGTACTGAACACTGGTATGTCCAAACATGATAAGGAAGTTTGATCAACCGATCTGGGACTTAGGTTTAATCCTTGTCTACTTGTCATCCTTTGAAGGTCAGTAACTCTAGACAGCTTCAGGGTTCTATTATTTTGTGTCGGGCTGCAATCATGCCAGCGAATACGAGTACTCCTTCGGTAGTTCTGGAGACCCACTCTGTTTCTGTTAGCGTGTTTCAAGAGATATCTCCGGTTGAATTTTGGATGGACTCTCGTAGTCAGTTAGGCCGGAGATTCATGTTTACAGTTTTTGAATTTCCAGGTGGAACACTGCATTGCATTGGGCCTTCCGTGGACAAAAACTCAAGTGAAAATAGGATTCAGTGGTTGAAATACATGTTCTATCTCTCAGCACCGAATTCACCAGTAGCCAAGAGAGTCATCTGATTAATTCAGACTGAAAGTTTGCGGTAATATTTAGCAAAGAATAATAGATTAATACACCCAGGCTATGAATTGACGCACATCGCTGCACCTGATAGATAGTCCCAAAATATTTCAGGATACACATGTAATGACATTAAGCCGTTCTTTATGTTACATTTCACTAAGTGTTAGAGTCAGTTATCAACCATCATTTAGCCCACAAATATATCACAGCTAATCCCACTTTTCACTGCCATTTTCAAATCGAATGTAATACATGCCTTCTAGTCCAACCATTGCACTTCATTCTTATACACTGAGTGACAAATGCTAGTAACTCGTTGAGTATCTATGGTGTATATTTTCCATGAAGAACTCACTCAAGTTTTAAATACATGATCTTGTTTGGACTGAATCAGCTGCGGTTTTGGCTATTATATATGTTAGCAAAACAAAAGACATTACATCCAGCCTCATACTATTTTCAACCCGAAGAAACCAAAGAGACTTACGATTGTATCTGACTGCGTAACAATAGATTTTAAAGTTAGTTTTACTTCAGAGATGATTTTGGGGTATGTATATGAGGTGAGCTACGTAAAACCTGAACACCACTTATCTTCTGAGTGCAGGTAGCCGTAAACTAAATGATCAAAGTACTCTGTTCAAGTAGCCAACAGAGCAGTAGGTTATTCAAATTAGGGAATAATGGATTAATTTGTACTTTCATAACATAGAGTGTTGCCCCCAAAAATCCTCAGAGTTTCTATACATAATTTATTAAGAATTTTTTCTGATTTTTGATATGAGGCCTGGAATAGAGACGAAACTGATAAAGAAGGATCCTATGCATCTCGAAAGTCTCCACGTGTCTTATTGATTTGTATCTTCTGCGATACCTTCGAAGGAGAATATTTCAAAGTTTCTCACAGAATTTGAAGAGAAACTTCGATATAAAACGCTCAGTGTGATGAGTTTGTTTACTTATTTCTGGATTTCATCAAATACCTTGAATATTGCATATTCCACCGCGGTGTTTAGATAGTGCGCTACGAAATGCCGAAAGATTCTACAAATGCTAGTGAACAGCAATCTGTAAGCAACTTCCCTACAACATTTATTGTATCATTTAGTCAGCCGAGTTCTTTTCTCATGATGGAATTTTCTCATTGGAAGCAGTTCAATGGATAAAGTATATATCTCAAATTCTTAAATATTTACTTAAAGGATTACGAATTCTTTGATGAACCTACAGGTTTGTAACAGTTACTTGGTAGGTGCCACGTCGAAAAATACTTTGATAAGGGCGTCTACAGTCCCCCCAGTTAATCCATCAGGTTTGTGCACTTTTAACTTTGATTTTGATAAGCAGTAGAATTGGCATTTTATATTTGAAAATTCGTGTTTAAATTAAAATGGACTGAGTGTTCCTTTTTGCTTTTTACTTTCATCTTTCATATCTTTATGTAAACGCCTACATCAACTCTTTCCGAGCTGACATCTGGTGTCGTACATTTTAAAGCAACATCTCCACACGGGTGACTACCCAGCTAGCATTTTCTTCGGGGGCACTGCAGACTTTTCGGGGCAAAAAACTTTGGGCGCATTGCCGTTCTTGAGTATTCGCCCCTAAGACTGCCCCAAAAGTCTGCAATGCACCCGAAGTCTGCCCCAAAAAGTCTGCAATGCGCCCTAAGTCTGCCCCAAAAAGTCAAGATACACAAAAAGTAAAGTAGTGGTAAAAATGTCAATGAATAAAATTATAAGTTGAAATAGTGTCACCATAGGTTGTAAATCCTAGAGAATAAAAGAGTCAATTATTTTCCTTCAGCTTCCAATATCGTTTTTACTAGCTAGTATAAACCAATTTGATTTCTTTGTGCTCGCCTCTTGATTGTGAGGTATAGGTTCCTTATCTTCGGTAAACTTCTGCGTAGCTCGTCCCGCCACTCCACTTTCGTAGCTTTGGTTGACTACAAAAGGAGTAGTGCTGGGATTAATTATATGTGGTTTGTAGTATGAGGTGTGTTACTGTTACTACTGTGAATGGAGTTGATCCTTTCACCAGTTAGTCCTCCGGTATCGTCGTCAAAAGAAAAGAGATAATAACAATAATAATAATAGATATAACTAGTGAGGTTATTCAGACTAACAGCCAGAAAAAAATAAAGAAAACGTAACAGTCAGTTGATTAAATTGGAAGAATAATATGAATAATATATATTTCGGTAATAATGATAATAATAATAGGTGTAGTTAAAGTTGTCAGGAGAGTAAGAGGGGAGAGAATGTAAAGAAGTAGAACGACGAACTTAGTTTTCTACCCCTGAATGGTGTATGGGATTTGAAGGGGATAGGCTATTTGTACGTGGTCCTTTTGTCACTGCATGGTTGTCCAGCCTTCGCTTAAAGGCGTTCTTAGATGGTGCCATAGCTACATCTGCCGGTAAGGAATTCTAGGGACGACAAACCCGCAGGTAAAAGAAGTGGGAGCGCACCCGGGTCCTTGCCCTCTGATGAGCTATCCTTCTAGGATTTCCACGAGGGAGCCTATACCTACTCAGTGGCAGAACACTTTTGTTTGGGTGATTCTGATCATTTGTTATTTTGAAGGCAGTAATTAAATCTCCCCTAAGACGACGGTAGTTGAGTGTGAATAGGGCTAATTTCTTCAGCCTTTCATCATATGGTTTGTTTCGGAGACCAACCACTCCTTTTGTTGCCCGTCGTTGGACTCTTTCCAAGAGGTTAGTGTCTCTTCTAAGCATTGCGGTTGCAATAATATTATGCACTTCAAGGTGTGGTCTGACGTATGTTTTGTACAAGCTTAGAAAGAGCTCAGGAGTGAGTTCACCTAATTTTCGCCATTCTTTATCATGTCTTCGCTTTTTACGTTAACTTCCTTCTTTCAGTACTTAGGAGTAGACATCTTAATCAAGTACTTTCTGACAATCGACTGATATTGTGTAAATGGTGCTTTATTCTATGCACAGATAAAAACAGAATTTTCTGTAATATGCGGTTTCTTTGAATTTCGTAGTTTTCTAGAAGTCCCATTTGATTGACTGTAAGACATCAGAATATCTAGTGTTATTTTTGTTTCTCAACTAGAAATTGAAATTACTCGTCAATCAGATGATCGTGTTCATAATATCTTTTTGGATCCTATGGGTTGGCATACCATAATAAGCATGCAATCTGGTATGAACTTTTACATCAATAGAGGTATGAAGAAGGTTCGACCATTGAACAAGACAAGGGTAAGTGTACGAATATATGTTATCGTAAATGTGACGGATATTCGGTCGTATGGTCAACAGATATGCTGTAGTAGATGTGACTGCGCAAACATTTAAGTTTCCTGTGGTTTCGTATATTCATATAAAATATTGAATTCATAACTGTGTTTCCATATGTACAGGTGCTCTTTGAAATTTCCTTCTGCTAATATATCCTAAGTTAATCTAGAATCTGATCAATCAATGAAATAAAACAACGAACTATCAGCGAAACTAATCGCACGCTCTTTACAATTCTCTCGAACACTAATGATGTTTCAAGTGACGCATTTCTTTCCAACCTTTGAGTTAATATGTTCGAAAAATCTATCTATATCCTGTGTTCTAAGTACAGTGAATGTGTCATCTACATACCTCCACCATACTTTTGGGGTGGGGCTGAATGTTTCAATCGCTATGTTTTCCCACCTATGCATGAATATATCTGCCACAACCGGAGATATTGGTGACATGGCAACTCCCTCAGTTTGTTTGTATATTTTCCTTTGGAATTTAAATACTGTGGAAGTCAGGCATAGCTGCACTCCCAACATTATGTCCTCAAGTGGTACTTTTATTCTAAGTTCGAGTTCTTGGTCAGAAATGAGTTCGTTTCTGACTGCCTCTATTGCCATATTTATTGGTATACGTGTATATAAACTGACAATGTCAAAACTACTTTTTTCTTCATTATCTAATTTTAAATTATCTAATCTATGTTTCAGTTCATAAGAATTTGTTAGTCTAGATTTTGAGTGGCTTTTAAGGGGATTTAATACCATGGCTAAATATTTAGATAATTCATAAGTAGGTGAATTTCTAAAATCAACTATAGGTCTAATAGGGTATCCTGACTTATGAACTTTAACAACACCATACATCCTACTGGGGTTATTAGTTTTGGGCATTAAATTAAACCATTTAGACTCACCTAGAAACGGCTTCATTTGGCGTATAAGGTCCGCTGTGGATTTCTTAACCTTATTCATAACGGTGTTTTGATTTATTAATTTCCTCATATGGTCCTGTTTGTATGTGAGTATTCACCTTGTCCAAATAGTCTGATTTGTCTAATATTACTGTTGCATTTCCTTTGTCTGACTTTGTGATTACTACATCCTTGTTATTCTTAAGGTGTTTTAGGGCTTCTATCTCTGGTTTTGTCAGGTTTGGCTTTCCACATTTTTGTCGTTTTAATGTTAGTGCACATTGTGCCCGTACTTCATCAGCCGTTGTTTTGTCTGTTCCACTTAGTGCTATTTTTATTTTAGGGATGACATCCTCAGGTTTCAGCTTGTCTACCGTTAAATTGAAATTTAGTCCCTTTTCTAATACACTTATTTCTGTAGGACTTAATATATGTGTTGAGAGATTGATAACCCACTTTGTTTTATCGATCGCCGTTGACTTTAGATTGCTGATTTCGTCGTCCTAAGATGAAGATTTCTGCTCTAATAATTTATTGAACTTTTTGATTTGAGTATTTTTTGACTTTTTGAAAGTTGCTGATTTGGCATTACTAGAGAACTGTATTGTAAGATCATAATCCACATTGGTTACTATTCTCATTAGCTTTTGCTTTAATTGCTCAATTTCATATCTGATATGTTGCAACTTTTTAACGATTCTGTGGATCTCTTCTTTTAGGCCTCATTTTTGTAGACTTTCTATTCTGCTTCTAATTTTGTCCGTCGGAACTGGAGCTCGTAGACGTAGGTATTTAGGAATGATTTCATTTTTCAAGCATCGAATGTTGAAAATACGATGATTTTCATATCTTGCTTCAGTTTTCGAAAATCGAGTGAGTTTATTGATTAGTCTTCGTACAGGAAGACCATAAGTCATATTAATGTGTGGCACTCAGCACCACAGTGCCCAAGTCTTACACATACTATCTGTGCCGTCTTGAGATGTCAGTGAGTGGCCTTAAAAATGGTTGTCCCCAGTACGACACCTAACACAGATATCCTAAAACCGCGTGCCGGGTTCAAGCTTGCCACTACAATGTTTGGACATTGATGCAAATCGGACGTCAACGTGAGTCACCTCTGGAGCCGTCACGACGTTAGCCTGGCTGTCAAAGGCCGGATTTACAATGCCTCGGTGCGCACTGTTTTGCTCTACGCCTGCGAAACCTAGCCTCTCCGAGCTGAGGATGTACAGCGACTCTGCGTTTTCGATCATCGCTGTCTCCATAGGACTGCTTGCGTTCGATGGTACTATCGTGTTAGTAACTCTTGAGGTGTGTGTTTGGACAGAGTGGAGATCACCATTTATTGAGTGTTGTCATTTGGAAACACCGTCTCCGGTGGCTTGGACAAATGCCAAGAATGTCATTCCAGAGGCTTCCGTACCTACCTCTGTTAACTAGCCCTGGGACTGGATGACTGGTTTCAACGTAGAACTTTGCACAGATGTGCAGCAGTTCGAGTTGCCACACTCCCTCCTTGTAGCACACAAAGCGTGGCGTTGTGGGATGAAGGATATTTGTGGTAGTTTAGCATAGGTTAGTGCATCACGACTCCCTGGTTGGGGTTCGAAAGACAGCTCAAATCAGTGGCTCGAGACGTTATTGGATATGGTCAAGAATCGCAGTCATCAATGGCGAACATGATGCAATTTACTTCTTTCTTCTCTTTCCATTAATAACTGACGATTGGTGTTTGAACTTGTGAAATATGACTGCCTTCCTCCCAGATGAAGTACTTTATCTGTTCTCTACCTATATTTTTTACTTTTTATCTTATATGTTGTTTTATTATAATCGTGTGGTGCATCTTCTTGGTGCCCTGGTGTACCAGGTTTTTGTGTTTTAAATAAAATAAAATAAATCTAGAATCTGTTGTCAGATGTCACCATTTCAGAAGATAGACGGACAACTGTAGAGAAAGTGTACTGAGTATATCCGAAAATTTGTGTTATGAATGTTATAATTATTGTTTATTATGACATACGTGAAACTACAAACTAAGAACCTGAGTCTTTTCTATTCCAGGATCATTTATTCGATTCTGTGGCATGGAATCAGCATAATGTAAATGAATTGTCTACACAAGAAATATTAATTGGTACAAATGATGGATTAATATTTGAAACTGTATTGATGTTCAATGAGGACAGCTTTTTTGGTTCAGGGAGTATTGAACAATATTGGGTTCAAGTAAGCTGTATATTATGGCAGTTTTTACGGTGATTAGTCTGCTAATTAAATACTCACAGTTTTAATTTCTTTTAATAGATTAATGACTGAACATTTCTTGATTACTCATATTAGAAGTTTCATTGATATATACTAACATGCATCAACTGGCGTGGAATAATGCTCTTGTCCATGCCAAGTAAAATACTAAGTCGCATCATCTTCGAGAGAATAAAGGATGCATTGGATACAGAACTCCGCCAGTCCGGAGCAAGCTGGATTCAGGAAAGGTAAATCATGTGCTGATCAAATTGAAACTCTATGCATCGTCATCACCGAACAAAGCGTAGAATGGCAGTCAAACCTCTACCTCAACTTCATCGACTTCGAAAAGGCCTTAGACAGACAGTGTTGACCGAAAAGTAATTTGGAAACTACTTCAACACTACGGCGTACCTCAAGTCTTTGTCGACCTCATTCAACAGCTAGCTATATGACACTGGCACGTGTCAGGTGATCCACAACGGAAAACTCAGTGAGGCTTTCGAAGTGCATACAGGAGTAAGACACGCTGGCTGCCTATTATCACCGATGATATTCTTAATTGTGGTGGACTGGATTATGCGTCAGACTGTTGGGGGCGAGGAGTCAGGAATACGTTGGACGACTGATAAGAAGACTCTGGAAGATTTGGATTTCGCAGATGATATATGTCTAATGTCACACAAACTGAAAGACTTGCAGGCAAAAGAACAACAAACTGGCTGAAGAGGCCGGTAGCGAAGACAGGACTGCAGGTAAACACAGAGAAGACGGAGGTGATGAAGATAACCAACGAATTGCAACAACAACAAACGGCACCAATCACCATCAACGGGAGAGATTTGACAGAGGTTACTTCCTTTCTGCACTTATCTAGGAAGCATCGTTTCAACTACAGGCGGAACGGATGAAGATGTCAAAGTCAGAATCGGAAAGGCAAGATACGCCTTTATCAACCTGAAACCAGTTTGGAAATCTTCCGCACTCAGCATAAGGAACAAGATTCTCATTTTCAACAACAATGTGAAGTCGGTCAGTGCTTCTATACGGGTCAGAAACTTGCACTGAGTGTCACGAAAAGGATTTCCAACAGCCAGTTGCAGACTTTCATCAACAGCTGCCTTCGCTGGCTCTATACTGAAGATCAAATGGCCAGAAAGAATAAGCAACAAGAAACTGTGGGAACAAACCAACCGAGCAAGAACCGATCGCTCAACAAATATATAGGAGAAAGTGGAGATGGATCGGGCATACCTTGAGGAGGCCGTCGAATGACATCGCACACCAGGCCAGTGATCGAGTGGAATCCAAATGGGAAGTGACTAGTTGGTCGACCTAGGGTGACATGGAGGAGATCGTGTGAAGAAGGGATGAGAGAGTTTGGTCAATCGTGGACCCAGCTGAAGAGGATGGCAGAAAACAGAACAAAGTGGAGATGCGTTGTTGAAGCCCTATGTTCCACTCGGAACGCAAGGGAATAATAATAATAACATGCATCATTTTGTAACCATAATCCAATATCTTAATACTTATCAAGAAGAGAGTTTGCAGTAAATTTATATGCACTTTGGTCATTAAAAGTAGACGTGAATCTGTTATAGATATTTGATCATAGTTAGGCTAATAAGCGTTGCCCACATACAGTGAAAGTAATTGTGAGCAGTCTGTAAGTTTACCTATTATGTATAAGCAATTGATCAGTTGATACCTAATAACCATCTTGTTATTTGGTGTTCATTACAGTAAAAAGGATGTAAAAGCAAGCTAAAGCTGTTAGAATGGTAGAAAAAGGTATAAGTATGAAATTTTACATACCTTCATTTGTAGGCTACATGTCACAACTACTTTATAACATCGTTCGGAAATACCAGTTGATTCAGTAAAATCCATGCTTCCATATATCCATCCAGACATGAAAATAAAAATAAATAGCTCAGTGAATTCATTGTACAGTTAAGTGAATGAATTCGCCAATTAAACAAAATACATTTGTATATTTTTTGTTTTGAAAAATTACTTATTTCATTTTTGTGAGTGACTGTGAAGTGTGAGCAACTAATTGACACATCAGTTAGTTCTTAGTTGTTTTGCACTATGCGTATGTTGCTTATCATTCTAAAGTGTCTTGAATTATGTTATTGCCAAAAAGGGTCTACTGGAGTGTGATGCATCCAATTCAGTACAAAAGTCTGCTGGAATAATTGGTGTTCCTAGTCTGCTCGAATACCTTACCATAAGTATATTCGTGTCTAGATTAGATAGGTATTTTTCGCGTATTAAATACTACATAGAGAGGTGAAGGCTTCCTGGTCGTTGTCCTCGGGATGACAAAAAACAATGAAGGCTGGAGACAATTAGTGGGTGATATGGCTAAAAACCCTCACTGTCAATGGCTGGTGCAGATGCATTCACTCTTTGTGATTTATAGTATCCAATAAAATTCTATTGTTCTTCCAGATTACTATTTTTTTTCTCGCACTCACATTTCTGTTTATTATCTCTCTCTTTTGAATCTCTCTTTACTGTCTTCACTTGCTTTGTGTGCTATATGGATGAAATGAGACAACAGAGTTGTTTCAGTGTTGCTTATGGGTTTCTCGTTCGCTAGAACTCACCAGCATAGCGTGTCTAGAAATTCACATTTGGGTCACTTAGTGCCCAAGCCAGAAACTTTACTAGCAATCTTTTCAGGTCAACATCTTAGTCCTTGAACTCAGTTATCTGGAACAGGTCTTCCATGAAACGGATTATAAGCCACACTTATTGTGTGTAAGAACTGGTAATACTACCCAGTTGCCCAGGTTAAGACAGGTTGAGAGAGACTTGCAGCCGTTCAAGTCGCCACATTCCCTCCATATAGCACACAAAGCAAGATAAAATAGCAAAGAAAGATTCAAAAGAGAGAGAGATAATAAATGGATATGTCAGTGCGGGAAAAAGAATAGTAATCTGGAAGAACAATATAATTTTATTGGATACTATAAATCACAAAGGGTGAGTGCATGTGCGCCAACCATTGATAGAGAGGATTTTGAGCCATATCACCCACTAAATATTTCCACTCTTCATTCGTTTTTACCACCGTTCTGAGGACCCCAACCAGCCGATCAGACAGCAGTGGACACCTCCCTACGTGGCTGGCTTGCTGGCTTAAAATAAATGTTCTGGATTTGATTGACTGATGGATGAAGCCATGTTTGACCACCACCACTAGCTTCCTCTTTTCCAGTCTGATCCATTTTGTGTCAGTCAGCTAACATTGCCCGTCCCTCGGTCGGTAGAGGAAGGCGATGGCTAGTCATGCATGCATGTCGTAACCATCTCAGTTGATGCAGTTGCTTCACAACCTCGTCTATTGATTTCCCCTCCCACCTACCTAGCACTCGACTGAAGCCTAACCTCAATATTTTTAAAATTTTTTTATTGTAGCTTGATTCCACAGTATTTTGGTACAACTATGGAATTTTCAGCATGTGATATCGGTAGCCCAAATTTTGCAGGCCGACCATTGATATCGGGTGTACCTCGGCAGGGGATTGAATCCCGGACCATGTGCATGGTTGGCGAGAGTCCTAACCACTGTGCCACCGACGCACAGTGACCATATCTCGCTCACAGCTATAAAGAAAGACAGAGCGATCTGCTGTGCAGTACACACGGCCTTTGGTTGACAGCTGTCTATCACGAAACTCTACCTCAATTAACAGTACTCGTAGCTGGACATCCATGCCATATGTTCCACCTGCCTTTGTTACTTAAGATTCATCGCCTTATTAGGCGATTAACATTTTAAAAAATAACAATTCAATTCCAATCTAAACATCATTGTTTATTTCCATTTAGAGCTGTGGCTCATTGGTCCAGGCACTCAATTTACAACTATTGGGTAAAGGTTTCGAACCCCCCCCACCTACCCAAGTGGTAGTACCACCGGTCCTCACACACAATAGGTGTGACTTATTGCCAACTGCATGGAATCGTAAGTGATTGTTGAGTAATGCTTCATTCGCTTCATTCATTTCTATCCAGCTTGAGAAATGGACAGTTATGTTGAAGTTGCCATAATACACTTTGATGTTTCTAATGATTTTGAAATATTTAAACTGATCTTATTTTACTCTCTCCATTACATATATATATAGATGATTAATTTAGGACATAGTGTAACTGGTATTGAAGTTATTCGATTTCCTATCGGTTCAGCTAATGTATTAGTCGGTGAACCACAACGATGTGTTGTATTTGCAACAACACCTGGTCGTATGTATCAATTCGCTGGATGGATTAATACAAATACATCAATAACTGGTTCAATTCTATCTCATTTAGCCTCAAATACTACAATCAGTTCAAGTGTCGCATCGAATACTGCAACAGTTGTTCCATCTGGTCATCGATCTAGTCTAGTGAATGAATATAATCAACAGTCGACTGGAGCACAGAATACAACAATATTTCCTAATATAACTGGTCTATTTTATGGTGTATTCAATTCTGATGATAAATTACCTGCAGGTATATATATATTGTTGTCATTTAGGGTTTTGTTGATGTTTCATTATTAGTAGATGACTGCGTTTGTAGTCTAATCTGTCTGTCTGTCTGGTTTCAACATAGAACTTTGCACCGATGTGCAGCAGTTCGAGTCACCACACTTCACTCAGCACACAAAGCCAGAGAAGAAGAAAGTAAAAAGAAACGCAAAATAGAGACAGTAAACAGAGATATGAGGCATAAAGAATAGTAATATCGAAGAACAATATAGTTTCATTGGAAATTATAAGTCACAAAGAGTGGATGCATCTGCGCCAGCCATTGAGAACGATTTTGAGCCATATCACCAATTGTCTCCAGCCATTGGTGTTTACCGTCCCGAGGACCCCAACCAGGAAGCCAGTCTACATCTTCCTACGTGGCTTAAACTAACTGTTGTGGATTTCATTGACTGATGCCATGTTTTGGTTTGAGCACCACTGGCTCTTTTCCAACCTGACCGTATGTCAGCTAACATTGCCCGTCGTCGAGGAAGGCGATGTCTAGCTAGGCATGCGTAACACATGTCCTAACCATCTCAATCGATGTAACTTCACAGCCTCGTCTATTGATTTCCCCTCTTTACCTAGCACTCGACGCCTAACCTCAATATTGCTCACCCTATTATACCACTTCACACGGGAGATAGAATGCAGGCATCTAAGGTCAAAGACAGCTAGCCAGCCTTTTCATGTCTTCCACTCTCAATGGCCAGGTCTCACAGCCATAAAGGAGGACGGAGCGGAATGCTGAGCAGTACACACGCCCTTTGATCGTTAGCCAGCCGGATATGATGTCTACTCCAGAGATGGCGTAAACTGGCATATGCGAAACTAGCTTTCTGTATCCGTGCTGAGATTTCGTCGGCGATCAACCCGTTGGGGCTGATGGTACTTCCCAAATAAGTGAAGCTGTCAACGTGCTCTACCACTTCACTCCCTATTTCTAAACTAGGAGTCAATGTAGTCCAGTCCTGTAGCATCATCTTACATTTGGCGGGAGCGAATCGCATGCCAAACATTCGCAGATTGCAACTCAAGGTGTTCAGAAGACTCTGCATTTTGTCAGCGTCTTCACCTAGTTGGAAGGACTATATCATTTGCATATTCTAAGTCAACGAGATTATTCCCTGATGGTAACAAGTCAATCCTTGAGTCTCTGGGATTGTAGTTTAATAGTGTAACTTAATTTAGTGGTTAGTTAGCCCGACTAACTGACTGAGTTTCAACGTAGAATTTTGCACAGATGTGAAGTAACCAGTTCAACTTGCCACATTCCATGTAATGTGTAAGGGTACAGAAAAGAGAGAGAAAGAGAAATCCAACAGAAGTATAATGAGCAGAAATGTATAGAAGAAAGAATAGTATAACGTCGAGAAACATTAGAGTTTTGATGGATATGGGAGATGGTAAAGAGTGAATTTTCGGTACCGGATAAATGGTAGAAAAAGACTCTTCAGTATTGGCACTATGGTTTGTTCAGACTAAATGATGTAATTTAGAATTGTTAATCTTTTTGGCTGCTTCTTTATTTAGCTACACTGTAAGCTGTTCCTGAGCACAATGAAGCGAAGTGCCTAGAGTAAGAGCCAATATAACTGGCAGTTGAAATGACGGGTATGACTGTAGGATCTGATAAACAGCCAAGTCAAAGTATAACGACCTAGAAGTGCGGACCTAACAGTGACCTTAAGAGCCTGCTGTTCATTTAGATAACGGGACCTACCATTATTTTAGGGCCACTATGATGGAATATTGAAGTGCAAATTTCATCCCGATCTCGTGTTTAATTACTGTTTGAATAATGTGTTGGTAGCTCTTTAGGGTTAGGCTGCCTTATTTTTTATCTTCATTTTTCTAATAAATAGTTGTCGATCTGCTTACTAAGAGCCATACTAATTCAATGCAGGGTTTTTAAGGAAGACTGGAAAACAGGATAAAAGCGATAAGTGGGTCACAAAAAGAACTCATCTTCAGTCGCCTCTATGAATACGCATACAGTAATTGTTTTAACCTAAAAACTGATATTCCTCATCATAATTGGGAAATATTTTTAAATCACGTCAAGGAAAAAGCATGCTGTTTTAATGTGTTTTGTCATTATTCTCCGCATTTCGCTTGTAAATAAATATCACTTCTATGTAAAAACCACTGGTTTTCCTGATTGGTCGTCTCAGGGTCAGTCGTGCGTTCGCATTCCATAGATCGCTATAGTTTAATTTATTTTTCTTGATAAATAAGTTATCAAAAAGAATATTCTTTGTTCCCGTAATCTTAATCTTTTGCTATGTAATATTCTTAATTACAATTTATAGGACTATTTAATTGAATTTTAGATTTTCCCGTCGATTGATTGGACCGAAGTGCTCGGTCTCAGATTGACATGTCGGCTTCTTGTGCAGATGCTTCGACGATGTCTGGGCATGTAATTAGAGGTTAATTGGTAGATGGTGACTAGCAGTGGAATCCAGGATGCGAACTTCAGTCCAAACAATCGACGGGAAAATCTAAAACTGAATTAAATAATTTATATAACCCGTTGTACAAGAGGTGGCCCAAGTGGTCTAGTGGATAACGCTTTGACGTTTGAAACTATGGGCACTGGGTTCGAACCTCAGTGGGAACATCATCACTCACTGCGGAATGCAGGTACATCCACCAGATGACGAGTCCCGAATAGGACGAAGTGCACATCTTGGATTCCACTGCTAGTCACCATTCACCAGTTAACCTCTAGTTTTTAGGACTGTTGTTTAATCATAAGTATGAATTATCTGTTAATAATCCTTAGATTTTTGAATTATTCTACTTATGATTATTATTATCTTTTAGGTTCTAAAGTAACTGAATTTCCAGGAAGCTTTGGTTACAGTGATTTAAAACTTTATCGTAATCCGAATGATGAACTCCCGAGTAAATTTGCTTGGATGACAGGTTAGCTTATTTTAAAAAAATGTGTTTTCTCTATTATTATCCTTTTGTGTGGAAGGCCCCACAAAAACGACCTGGTACTGCTAGGGGTGGGTGGGATGGGTAGACTTTGGTCTTCCTCTCGAAATGCTTTCATGTCGCCATGCGTTCATAGCCTACCTCTGTTAGGTAAGTCCTACCCACTGCCTTCACGCGGTGGGGGAGATGTTCTTCAAAAAAAGTGATAGGGTGAATCTCCGAATGTCTGGCGTTTACTACCGGACTGATGTGGACACTCAAGTCTACCCAGAGGAGCTGGAAAATTCTGATTCCAAACCTATGGTGTACATAAACTTCAGAATCCGAAAGAATCTATTAGCGTATGAAACTCTTTCGGTCACCAAAGACAATAAGAACTCAGACTTCAAGTCACAGACTGACGAAATGACGCTTTGAGATAACCACGTGGTTCCGTCTGTGTTTTAGCTGTATCCAATCCACCCTTCGCTCAAACTGTGAGATTTTGTGTAATACATCTATTCGTGTCGATAATGTGCAAAGTTCGTGTTTTAGTGTGGAAGTAATGGAAAAATAATTTATATGAAACTGTAGCCTACTTATCCTAGGAGTTCAAGTATGATGGTTTGAGCAAACCAGGTAGTATCATCAATCCTCAAATAACAGGTGTTGCTCATTGCCAAATTGTATGGAAGTGTAAGTTGTTGTTAAAGTATGTTTCCATGATATTGTTTGTTTTCACTCTCTTGAATGTATGCGTGTGTGTTTGAGTGGTGCCCCCATAAACAAAACGTATTCAATTTGCTTGAAAAGGTGGATATGTTTATGACTGACTGGTTTCAACGTAAGACTTTGCACAGACGTGAAACAGTTCGAGTTGACACACTCCCTCCATGTACCACACAAAGCAAGAGAAGAGAGCAATGAGAGATTCAAAAGAGGGAGACAGAGAGATAATAGTAGAATTCTATTGGATATTATGAATCAAAAAGAGAGTGAGAGAGAAAGCATTCGACTGAAGCCTAACCTCAATATTGCTCACCTTATTATACCATGGGAGATAGAACGCAGACATCTACGATCAAAGACAGCTAACGGGCCTTTCCATGTCTTACACTTTCAATGGCCATATCTCATAGCCAGTCATAAGGGAGGTATAATAAGGTGGACAATATTGAGGTTAGGCTTCAGCCGACTGCTAGGTAGGTGGGAGGACGGGCAATGTTAGCGGACTAACATAGGATGGATCAGATTGGAAAAGAGGAAGCTAGTGGTGGTGGTCAAACCGAAACATGGCTTCATCAGTCAATGAAACCTCAACAGTTAGTTCAAACAAGCCAGTCAGCCACATAGGGAGGTGTACACTGCTGTCTGGTTGGGGTCGTCGGGATGGTGATGAAACCAATGAAGGCTGGAGACAATTAGTGGGTAATATGGCTCAAAGTGATCGTTGTCAATGGTTGGCACAGATGCATTCACTTTTTGTGATTTGTTGTCATATCCAATAAAATTCTACCATTATCTCTCTGTCTCACTCTTTCGAATCTCTGTTTACCCTCTTCTCTTGCTTTGTGTGCTACATGGAGGGGAGTGTCAACTCGGACTGTTTCACACCTGTGCAAAGTTCTACGTTGAAAAGAGTCAGTCAGTCACCAGTTGATGATTTTACAACTAAATAGTATCATTCGTTGTAACCTTTTATTACCGAAATCTCATTGCAGCAAATAAATGGCTTTCTCCAGGAGTACTTAAATGGTAAGGTACGAAGTAGATAATTCTAATTTTTGTAAGACGACTGTTGTGTTTCCCTGAAAAAATAATGTAACGATTAGAGTTAGAGCAGAAGGCCAGTGTTGCATAGGAATTCAAACTTAGTGTCTTATGATCTATCATTATGGTCAGTGATTGAATTCTGAACATGGGATCAGTAAGATGCAGGTCTGGTAGTGTTCTCAGATTACTGGCCTGCTTCTCATGGTCTACATCAACTTTATTTTTAACAAACTGAATCTATCTCAAACAATCTTAGCAACAATTTATCCACAATATCTGTGATACATTGATATATTGGTCGATTTCCAGTCTGGAAATCATAATTGGCTTATGTGGAAATAACACCCACTATTTTATTGATCATGATTATAGATTAATTGACGTATCCATTGGCGATTTTTTGAATCATACATTAATGTGTAAATATGCTGTTACATTCTGTCTCGTGTCTGGTGTACTGTCGCTTAAGTAGTGCGGGTTGGGAGATCACTTAGCTGTTGTGTTATGCATTATTGGCGCAGGCAAGCAATACTCGTGATTACCGTGTCTATCACCAGCTCGACACTCCTCTTTCAATTTAACGTTTCACAAAAATAATAATTTACATACAATTTGTATTTCTCTTAGTTTCAAATTTTTACCTTCACCTCCTTTCTCTCTGCATTGTTCAACATCTAGGTCCTGGTATCTACTTTGGTCATATAAAAACAGAACAATTAAGTATGCCACCGTTTACAAAACTTTCAGTAAATGATCAATCTTCATCCGACATGAAATCATTTCCAAGTGAAATAACATCATCTACCACAGGACCACTACCACAACCACCACCACCACCATCTACAGAGGATTTAGATGATCCAAACCGGCTTAAAGATGTATTCTCTGGTCGTGGAGTTAATTTGACTAGAAATACAAAACTTATCCCATATCCAATTATTCATATGCTTGAACGTCCTGGTATCCCACTAGGTATATGTATGACAGAATTTCATGTCATCATTATATATATGGATCGTATAAAAGCTGTCAATACACTGGATGGTCGTGCAGTTTATTCTATGCCATTGACTAATCTGATTGGTGGTGAACGTGCCTTAGGCGTATCACGTGATCCCAGTTCAAATCGTATTTGGATATTTAGTAATAATCATTTAGCTCAATTAATTATGAAAAATGAATTATGTAGGATATGGCAAATTTACTTGGATCGTTTACAATTCGATGAAGCTCGTCAGTTTTGTAAGGTGAGTCATACTTTAATGTCGCAGATTTCTGTATGTTTTGTTTTGTATCTCGGCATATTTTTTTTCAAGCCTGACCGGATAACTGCTACCCTGGCATAGTGGTTAGGCTCAAGTATCACAATGACTCAATGAGCTGCACTGGCTAGAACTGACGTTTCTGCATGTTCTACTCTGCCATGAAGTGTGTTTGGATAGCGGTTAGACTGAAACTAGTTGCCATCATAGTGTAAGTCGTCTACAATGTGTTAGGGGTCTGAGGGTGACAAATAAAGATGTAACTGGAGGAAGGTGACACGCGTGTTAAGTTTGCTACTTTTCCGCTCTGGGAAACGGGTGGAAGTTAGAACAGGTGGACCTCGATATTCGTACATCCCTAATTCTTTGCGGTTGTCCGTGGTAAGATTTTAATACAGACACAATTTCAAAAAGCAACTCAAACAGATTGTGTGTGTGAACGACCTCAAGCAGTTTTCTCCTGGGCTCACTGGTTACACAGCACTAATTTGCTTTCTGTTTAGGGTTATGATAATAAGATTATTTTTCCCTTGGGATCTGAGGGAAACATGGGGCTTCTACATTACATCTCCAATTTGTCCTGTTCTCTGCAGTCCTTTTCATTTGGCCCATAACCTCTCATCTTCTCGCAGGATCTCCTTCATGTCACCCTTGGACCAGAGGTTCGCTCGTCGTATCCCATTCGGGCTCCAGTCGAGCGACGGCCTGGCGCGCAATCTCATTCGATGGTTTCAGCGTGTGGCTGATCCATTTCCATTTTCTTCTGCATATTTGTTGAGCAATAGGTGTTCCCACCGAGGCTTGAAGCAAATGCCTATAGTTTCAAACGCCAGAGCGTTATCCACCAGACCACTTGGGCTACGAGGGCCACCTCTTGTGCAATTGTAGATTTTCCCGTCGATTGTTTGGACCGAAGTGCTCGGTCTCAGGTTGACATGTAGGCTACTTGTGCAGATGCTTTGGCGTTTGAGACTATGGGCACTGGGTTCAAGCCTTGGTGGGAACACCATCACTCACAGGGGAATGCAGGTACATCCAGATGGTGAGTCCCAAACAGGACGAAATGCACATCTTGGATTCCACTTCTAGTCACCATCAGCCAAATTGTCTTCAGGCTTTAATATCAATGGACAAAATATTCACTTTACTTATTCATCATAAAGATGGAGGCCATTAATGTCACGTGATTAAACAGCATAATGACAAATTTGTTGTTAAGCTTGTTAGTATCTATTGTAATAATTACTACAATATTCTAGAATTACCCAAAGGATAATGCAAATCGAATAAAGGTGTAAAATCAACAACTCTTACGTGTAAGAGTTAACTAATTTAGTTAAACAGAGGGCAAAAAAGTAGTATAGATAAACTCAAAATTTAAGGTATGAAATTTTCATTTGTCAAAATGAAGCTGTAGTTCAATAATTTCAGCGCTCCATTTCTAACCATCGGGTTATAAATTCAAATCCTGCTCCACGTAACAAGTTTTGATCACCCAGGTAGTAAGAGAAATGACTTAGAATATACCCATAAATTAATAAACAACATATTTGAAGACATCAAATTCACAAGAGAAGAAGAATTATATAACAAAATCCCATTTTTAGATGTCTTAATCAGGAGAACCAACACAGGAGACTTAGAGACACAAGTATATAGAAAATCAACGCACACAGATCAAATACTCAACTATACTAGCAATAATCCAGGTACTCACAAACGAAACTGTGTGCAGACATTGTTTAAAAGAGTTCAAACACATTGTAGCACTCCAGAGTTGAAAAGAATGGAAGAAAAATACCTACAAACGGTCTTCAAAAAGAATGGTTATCCACAAAAATTCCGCAAAAAGTGTTTAAAATTGAATCACAACACCAACAAGGAACCATCATCAAAGAACACAAGAAAATTCATCCTACCATATATATAAAAAAATATCTCTGAAATAACAGCTAGAATACTGAAACCGTTTGATATAGATATAGCACACAAGCCAGCCAGTCAAATCACTTAATTCGATATTATGCCAACCAAAAGATCCAACAGAAAATGGAGATAAAATTCATAGTATTTACAAAATAAATTGTATGTATGAGCTGTAACAGACATTACATCGGCCAAAGTGAGCGTCCCCTTCGAATCAGAATCCAGGAACACAAATCAGCTGTGAAAAGACATGATATATATTCTTTCATATCAATGCATATAGACAATTATGGACATCAATTTGATTGGGATAATTTCGAGATCTTAGACAGAGGAAACACGAAAATTACTGCCACGGAATTCCTAGAAGCCTGGTGCTCAAACGAAAATGCAATTAACAAACACGTAAATATATACCAAATATACCAACTAATAAAAATTAAATCTCGTGACCAGAAAGTTTAAAATCCAAGTCGATAAAAGGATGATCAATACATATGTCAAGATGGTTACCGGGAGACGCAATTATATCAACATTCATGGAGAATTTAAATCAACTCACTTTATGCTAAACAATTACGCTGAAGGGGGATGTTGTCCAGAAGGACAACGAAAGCTCCGCCATCAAACCAACCAGCTCAGAGAACATTACTAATTGCAAACTCAGGTAGTATGTCATTAGACCTCACACACAATAGGTGTGCCTCATTACCACTAACGTGGAGTATAGCAATCTAAACCGATCCTTGCTTCCTACTATGTATAGCTGTTTAGAAACTTTTTCGACAAACAAATAGTCACAAAACGCTCTAAAGACATCAAAAAGACGATTGTTTGTGATTGGAATCAATGTGTATGGTTCCATTCAACAATAGTAATGTCAAAAATTCAAAATTACCTCAACATTGTCATTAGGCTTCTATACAGTCCAGTCTAAATACAAAACGAATACTTAGAATCAAGTAAAATATTACGAAAAAGGTGCGATCAAAAACTCTATCCACAAGCATCACACACACCAACGCTTTCCACAGACAGTTCAAGGTCAGAATGACCCTGATTTACTCAAACAAAATCATATCGTAAGCCAACACACTATCAATATCAGCATGCAACCACCATAAAGAGAAACATTAAAATTAGAGATTAAGCAAGCACAAAGAGAAATAATAAGGATTAAATCAACACGTGATATGGAAATGTCAAAATAATGAGAAACAGTCTGGGAGAAAAACGGATAATAATCATTACAAAGTTAATTGAAATGTCCAATTAACTGTAAATATTGTGATTAGATCATTCTGGAGAGAATTTTCCAAAGAATTTTTCCCTTTTACAAGGAGTGAATGAGTTTTAAAATAACAAGATTAACACTGGTTTCTTTCTGAATGCTTAAGTCCAGTTTTAACCGGCTAATAGCAACTGGTTTAACGACATGTCATTCAGTTATCTTAAATGACTTTAATGCATCAATTCTCATGACCATTATCAAACAATCGGCGGGCGATCACACTGCTGAAAAAGACTCATATCTTTCAGACGCAGATTTCTTTGGATGTCCTCAGATATGCAGTCATAAGGCCTTTTTTCTGTCCATCCGTTGAATGTGATTTGACATGTGCATGTAAATTGGTTGGTTGTATGCTGTTGGAGGTAACATTCACCTACAGAGCTGCGGACACCTGCGTTGTAGTATCACTATCCCCCACATTCTGCAGGTGTAGCTCAACACTGACTGTATGGAACTGAAAATATTTGCTCAGTGGTAATGTAACAGGTGAAGGCAAGAAACTCGATAATGGATATTTTCTAAAGGTTAAAACTGTTCTGATTGGTTGCTGATTTTTTTCTGAAGGTCAAACTTTGAAATGGTTTCCTGACCACAACTTGAGCTAGATCCAGATTTCAGGAGTAAAGGCGCTGATTTAAATGTTGTTTTCAATTTTGGCTACTTCCTATCAATCTGTGTCTATATACTACTGATAAATATTGTCAGTAACACACTACCACAGTAACATTTCGTTTTTTGTCTCAATTATATACCCTTTTTTAAAACAAAAGGATTCAAATCAGATGGATACAATCAATATTCGAGAAGCTGAATATAATTTTGACAATGGAAAGTAAGTTAGTACACTATCACAATGGTGATTTCATTTATTGCTTTACTGTTATCATGAATAAAACTACCCCTTGAGATTTTTTTTCGCTGTGTTGAACGTAAGATACTGTGGTAAATTCCTTCTTATTTTACAAGGAATATATAATAATTCAACATATTGTTTTCAGGGAAAGAATGAAAAATTGTTCCCTTGACTATAGACTTTTATTTAGTTTTCGTAATGAAATCATCAATTCTCCTCTGTTTGGTGGTAACCATAGCAATGTACTTCTTGAATAGTGTTCTTTCATCAGTGGATAATAAATGCAGGATATATGAGTTTCATAAGATATTCTTTTTGAGTTCAGGTAGTCGAGAATGCATAATATCGATGTGGTCATGTGTTTGTGTGTTGTTTGTTTGTTTGTTTGTGTGTGTGTATAGCGTTTCAGTGTACGTGATTTAGGTGATATATATTTATATTTCGTTTGAGATTGTTTCAAATAATGCTTACACAAATAGGTAACTCCTAAACATTAGCGACCCAAACGTAGGACCTAAGTAAGCGGATGTAATCACCTTGATCAATCAGTCAGATGAACCTGTAGTGAATACGTGGTGATATATAGATGCAGTGCATGAATTACTTTGCAAATTCTATCAAGAGGCAGTCTAACACGCTTCTAACAAGCTCGTAGATGTGGAGGAGTAATGTTTTTTCAGAGGTATGCATCGGCTGTCCATGGTGGATATGTGTACAGATATCCAGGCTATGATTACAGAATATCTATCCGAGTAGATATGTCGTTCCCTTTTTAGATTCATGGGTGCTGTAGAGCAGTAAATAAGTCACGAAACACAATTATATACAGTTATCTGGATGAATTTATGTACAGAAATAGGTTTGGACTATCACTAAAGACTCCGATAAGGAAACTGTGTAACTGGCACAATCATCGTGTTTTCACTCTCCGTTGTCTGCAACAGAATGCATATCCTAAATCCGTAGCTGTCGAGTCGCCTGACAACTCCAGTAGGTCGAATAAAGCAGCTCAATCTTCAGAAAGAAGGCAAAGCAATAAGTCCGACAGGGTGCTTCTACTAAACTCTAGTCCTAAACACCATAATTTTGAAAATACGTCTAATCATAAAATTCTAGATACTAACAGTTTGAACAGATATGAAGGCGTGATGTTAGCTGATGCATAGGAAATCCTTATTAATGAATAAAAAATGGATATGTATTACTAATTATTAATACTTGGTCAAAAATTCTCGACTGTCCATATCTTCTTATGGAAACGCTAAGAAATGTTTAACAACTGTTTACCCACACACACATACACACTCTGTTTAAAGTGTTTAACAAAGGTTGACCAATATTTGTAAGTCCGAGGTCAAATTTTGATCATAGCTCATAAAATTTTGTTTATCATACCTGTTGATACTTTTTGAATGACTCATGATTGGACAAATTTTTAAAAACAAGTGATGTTCCTTTTTACATATAAACCTATGTTATGTTAATTTCGATTAATTTCCCTGAAGAAGTTCGGACCAGATTGCCGAACGAAACGTTGGAATTACTCATTTCAATCTCGCTGAGACTTTACAAATATAATTTTTTACAAATAAGGAGGTCTGCTTTGGACACATACGAAAAAGTTACCCCGTATAACTCTATTTTATAACACCTACTTTTTTGTTTATAATAGAGTTTTTTTAATCTCGACAACATAATAAGAAGACGTAGTTTATCTGATTGTGTTGTCGAAATTCATAAAGGGAATTAATTGCTTTAAATTTTTGAGTTTTTTTTAAATTACGCGCATTTTTACTAAGGACTCGTTTGATTGGTTGATTGAGGTCATTGAGTCCGTTTACCAGGTAGTTTCATTTCGGGCTACTATAGTTTACAATTATCCAGAAACAAGCTTTTGCGTCCACCTCAGCAAATTGGACTGATAATTGTAGAAACTTGCTCAGTTTCTTTATTACCTCATGATGCGCAATACTCTTTAAAAAGACAGAAAACGGTTGAAGTGACGACAAGTGATCAACTAGATTGTACTTTCATGTATATACAATAAAGAGGTGAGATAGTTCCAGAACTATTTCATGTTTTAGGTCGTATCCAATAGTATATCTATGATGAAATTAAACAGAAATGGGTACGAACACCATTGTTTATCATCACTTCAGGTAACAACTCTCCATAATCTCTTACATATCTTATCGAATTCGACTAGAGTGCTTTGATTAATGCTATATACTTTCTTGGCACCCCCCGCCACACGGCAAGATATTACTGTAGCACCTGACGGTCGGCAGAGTCAAATGTCACCTTCAGGTTAATAAATATGGCAAGTATTAAATGCTAGTAAGTATGTCTATGTTATAGAGTGTCTGTCAAAGGGTGAAAATATGATCAATACACCCTCTTCTTAAATAAAACGTGACTAGTTTTCTCTTGTTTGTTTCTCCTGAGGGACTGTTCAATCTACGCATGAACTTTAGAAACTATATTCGTCAAACCTATCACAACACCACACTCTGCATCTTTTTCCTTCTTCTTCTTCTTATTGTTCTTGTTTTTTATTCTTTATTTTAAAGTTATATCCGTGCAGCTAGAATGTTCGCTCGTAGTTCAATACCATTTGAACAGATAGCTCTGCGTTTTTGTCATTTATCATCGTCTAGTGGAACAACAATTGATCATCAATCTCTTACATCATTAGATCATTTTACAGCCTTATCATCTTCATTAATTCAACAAGGCTATGAAATTAATGAAGATCATGACATTATGGAAGCTTTATTATTATCATCACCACTAGGAGGAGGAGGAGAGAAGAAGTCACAGTCAAATAAAGACTGTGATAATACATCTTTACAACAATATAAATCCTCTGGCATGAGCAAGTTATCAATATCAAATCAAGTAAAAAATAATCTATTCTCACCGCCATCATCGATGTCGATGTCGTCGACTCATCCATCTTCTTTTGGTCCATTGAAAATATTCATTTCTGCAAAATTAGATTATTTAATTGAACAGAAAAACCAAAAAGGCGGTAATAAATCATCACTGGGGAATTCATTATCTGGTCAAATTATACTACTTGCCATGTGGTTAATTGAATTACTTCTGACAGAGTTGAGTTTTACACGTGATCGTTTAACAAAACAAAATTATAATTATCATCATATAGGAGAAGTTGAGGAGAAAAGCAAAAACAATGATGGGAATGATACAATGACGGTTACACTGCAAAATCATTTAGCTACTGTAAAACGTGAATTTCGTACAATATTAACATCTCCTGAAGTATTGGTAAGTAAAATAGTTTCATCAAATGCTTATGTTTTTTATTTTCATTTGACAATAGCTTTTTATATATTTTTTTTCCCTTCTTTTGTTTTCCCTGAGCTCTGTCTTTCAAGACATCTGCGCAGACTTCAATATGAAGTGAAGTTATCTGAATTTGATATAGTTCTCTTTTGATGACCTTGGCTGTGATTGGTTATTATTAAAGTTGGTTGTGATTGGTTATTTTTAACAACGAATCACAACCAACTTTAATAATAACCAATCACAGCCAAGGTCATCAGAAGAGACAGTTTTATTACTCATGGAGAATTCGAAATAGGCTTACTTCATATTGAAGTATGTGTTGAAGATGTTTGTCTAGAAAGACAATGAAAGTTTGGCAATTGAAAAAGTCATTCAGCTCAGGGAAGGGAACTACACCAATATTTTTTTCTTCAAACGTTATTCTGGTTTCTTATTTTATGCACTGTAACGTTTTGTTGAGTGTGATGTCTGCTTCACTTATTTTGACTAATTGCATTAACTCTAATGCAGTCTGATTGCTGACGAAATCTTAATACAGATACAAAAGGGGGTAGTCTAACATTTGTCAATGTGCATTATCTTTGGTGTAGGCGTGATATCTGGCTACCGATCGGTTAAAAAATGTGTGTACTTGGCAGCATTTATCCCTGTCTTGCTTTTTTTGCTTGGAGACGTGGCTGTTAATAGTGGAATACGTGAAAATTCTAGCTCTATTTGATAATAGACGTTGGCATTTTAGGTCCTTTGTTAGGTGTTATAATATAGTGAGTAATATTAAGGTTAGGTGCTGAGGAGGAAAAGTCAACCGTTAAGGTTATGAAGCTCCATTCTGTCGTCTGTCTGTCTGTTTTCAGCATAGAACTTTGCATCGATGTGCAGCAGTTCAAGTCGCCACACTCCATGTAGCACACAAAGCAAGAGAAGAAAGTAGAAGAAATGCAAAATAGAGACAGTAGACAGAGATATGAGACAAAAGTAATAGTAATATCGAAGAACAATACAGTTTCATTGGGTATTATAAGTCACAAGGAGTGGATGCATCTGCATTAGCCATTGAGAACGATTTTGAGACATATTATCAATTGTCTCCAGCCATTGGTGTTTACCGTCCCGAGGACCCCAACCAGGAAGCCAGTCTACACCTTCCTACGTGACTGGCTTAAACTAACTGTTGTGGATTTGATTGACTGATGAAGCCATGTTTTGGTTTGACCACCACTGGCTCTTTTCCAACCTGACCCTATATCAGCTAACATTGCCCACTGTCGAGGAAGGCGATGGAAGCTCCATTGACTAAGATAGCTAGGGAATGTGTTATGCATTCAAAGCCATCGCTTTTCTTGTCGTGCAATATTAGCTGACATCGGATTAAGTTGTGAAAAAGTTAAGAATTTTCAACTCAAAACCTGACATCAAACCATGGAGTCATTGACTGTTGGTTAACTGGTGTTAGGTCCTCGGGATGCTAAGAACCAATGTTTAAAAATTTTTGGTGATATGTCTCAAAATCGTTCACTTTTTCCAATGTGAGAGCCATTAGATCTGTATTCTTCGCCATGTAATTATTCTTTCTCCTGTAAATTTACGTTCATGATAGTTCTTTTAATTTTCTCTACCTTTATCTCTTACATGAATTGTGGCAAGTTGAAATGCTACACTTCTGTGCAAAGTTCTCTGTTCAAAGTCATGATCAAATATAATAAAGTATATAATGATGAAAACCAACATTAACTCGTTTATTTGTTGTGCTTGGCAATGTTAAATACTTATTTTACAAAGTACTGATAGGTTAATAATGTTCAAAATCATCTCCTATTAGTCGAAAGTTAGTCTCACAAATCTAATAATAGAGCTCCACTCATGAACCTACCAGAAGCACCAGTAATCTATCATTGTTCTACCTTTATTGTATTGTAATACCAGTTGTCAAATTATTGTCATTATCACTTTGGTATAATTTTGCTAAATACATACAAATGATTGTGTATACTGAAGTGAATATTGACGAAGCATCACTTAGTGCCCTCATCTTAGCTTATTACTAATAATAGGAAGGAGTAAAGATGTGTTTCTTGATAACTTAGTGCATGAAAAATCCGTTCCGTTTAATTGTATGTCAATGAGAACTATACTGTCTCAGCTTTTTCTTATGGTTGTTTTAGTTGTTTCTTTGACTTACTTCTTATCTTTTACCCTGACAAACGACCCAGTAATACCAAGGTTGGGTAGACTTTGGTCTTCCTTTCAAAATACTCTCTCTCTTTATACCCCGTGTCAGGTAATTCGTATTCACTACCTTCACATGGTAAAGGTGTTCCTCACAAAAGTAAAAGGGCGAATCTGAACATCTGTGGCTCACACAAACCGAACTGGTGGAATTCAGGTCTATCTAACGGAGCCAGAAAACCGGGATTCCGAACCTATGGTGTACATGGACTCCAGAATCCGAATGGATCGAATGAACCTGTTTTGATAACCAGAAACTGTAGGAACGTTGCTCCTGATGCTGCTCTACTGCCTCATTTCTGTTTAATTTCATCACAGATGTATTTATGGACTTAACCCTAACTAACTTCAGTGACTCAGGAATTGACTTGTTACCAGGGAATAATCTCGTGCAAAGTTTTACGTTGAAACCAGTTTCATTCAGCTCTACTGTCATGTGGATCAGACTTCAAATCAAAGTCTAAGTGGGTGGCTCCCTAAGTTAACCACCTGTTTTGGTCTTGGCTTCTGAGCGGTATCCCATCCGTCGCAAAAGCCATGGTATTTTGTGTCGTGTATCTGTCTGTCTGTCTGTTTTCGACATAGAACTTTGCACATATGTGCGGCAGTTCAAGTCGCCACAATCCATGTAGCACGCAAAGCAAGAGAAGGAAGTAGAAGAAATGCATAATATAGACAGTAAACAGAGGTGTGAGACAAAGGAATAGTAATAACGGAGAACAAAACAGTTTAATTGGAAATGATAAGTCACAAGGAGTGGATGCATCTGCGCCACTGAGAACGATTTTGAGCCATGTCACCAATTGTTTCCAACCATTGGTTTTTACCATCCCGAGGGCCCCAACCAGGAAGTCTACATCTTCCTACGTGGCTTAGATTAACTGTTGTGGATTTCATTGATTGGTGCCATGTTTTCGTTTGACCGCCGCTAGCTCTTTTCCAGCCTGACCCTATATCAGCTAACATTGTCGTGTATCTGTGAATGCTCATCCCAATGTGGCATTTATTTGTTTTGACAATAATGACAAATCTTTTAATTTAGTTGGCAAATACGCAATCTGCAAATGTAGACTATTAATCGGTAATGCTAAACTAAACGTAATTTAATACGTCATATCAGCTGACAGTAGTTGGCGTGTCTACTTAATGTGAAAAATGTTTTTAGGGAGATTTGGACGTTGGTTATATTTATTTATCATTGGAACACAAATTTGCTATATTTTGGTTACTAAGGAATGCGCTAAACAAAATCTCATAGTTTGTGCGACGGCTGGAATACTATTCGGACGCCCAGACCGAATCAGGTGGGTAATCTTATAGGGATAACCATTGAGCCTTTAAATTAAAGTTCTATCGACAAGGTTGTGGGTTAGCATTGGGAGCTACGTTCCCATGGTTTCCGCTGACCGAAACAGGTTCACAAGCCGTTTCGTTCGATTGGATTACGCAGCCTATGTGCACCACTGGTTAAGGATCAGGGTTTCCCAGCTCCCGTAAGTAGAGCTTGTTAGCAAAGGATAGAAGGACATGTACCATAAGTTCCACAAAAATTGTATAGCAGAATGATTGAAGTTCTCTCCCTTATGATAACCATTAACTAGATATGTATACTATCTGGTGAAGATAGGTTTACACTCTGCGAAATCGTTCAAACGATCGCTGTTTTAATTTCAGCTGTCAAATAAAGAGTTGTTGGGGAGACAGACATTTCCAGATAGCACTTGACTGACAGACTAATATTACTATAATAAGCAGTGACTAAAGGTAAAATAAAAATAATTTTTCATCATAAGCTGACATCAGTTAGAGAACTATTGGAAAACCACCTGGGAGTACTGAACAGCTGTTTCGTCAGTCTAGCTTGGGACTCTTCATCAGTACGCACCCATCGCCATGGTTCGAATCCAGGACCTTCTAGTTAGAAGGCTAGAGAACTCGTAGACCATTAGGCCACTGGGATCCGATCCGGTGGCCCATGAATTCTAACTTCTGCCAATTCATGTTATAGCGCGACCACTGCGCAATGTCTTCTTCGAAATAACGTTCTCAGGATTACTAGCTCAACTGTTTACTGACTAAGCTACAAATGAACTGCAAAATGAAGATCTGGTTATCTCAGTTTGGTCCATAAATTGGCAAGCTATAGTTATCTACATGCCACTGGTTTGAGTTCTGACAAGATATATGCTTACATTTCATCTTCAATTATCATTCCACTCAGTTACTAGAGCATATTATCTTATCTGGCCCACTTGATTTCTTGTTCTACATAAATTTTCATGATAAATGTTTTGTGTTTTTGAAAAAAATGTTTTCCAAATACACATAAGGTTTTGTTTTTATTATGGATTTTACTCAAAGAAGTTTCTACCTAACGCCAAATTTGTAATATACGATTTATTAGAAAGTCATGGAGAAAATGATGAACTTATTTACTTTACTGAATTGATGGGAGGTAAGTCTGAGCTGTTCTACATTCTTATTATTATTGTCATTATTCTTTATTACGATTACTGCTGCTTGGTAGTAGTAGTAGATAGCCATGATGTTTTTATTTTTATTTTATTTCTTTGTTCTCCGAGTGGAATATAGGGCTTCAAGCTTCAGCCTTGAAGCTCCAGTAGCGGTGATGTTTCTTTTCACGAGGTGAGGTAGCTAGCCTTACGCCCACCTTTCCCTATTTGATAGTATTACTACTGGCATCAGTCGAGAATCGAACCCCGGTCCACGTTCGTGGTTGGCGATTATTCTAAGGTTAAACCACTAACGCAGCAGAAATCGTTGATTCTATTAGCTTATCAGTTAAATGCCTCTTCAGCATAATGTGTATGTCTCCATTATGCAAAAAGTTGTGTGAGAGTGACTTGATATGATTATGAGTGGCAATAATTTGTGCTCGAAACGTGGTCATCAGTTAATATTACTGTATAACACTGTGTGATTTATCAAAATAAAATCTTATCCATAATGGAGCTATACACTACCACAGTGCCCAAGTTTTATACCTATATCAATAATATGTTGTCTTAATGCCTATTCGTAAGTCAAGATCGATCTCTCCAGTCATCTTAAATAAAATAATGGTAAACTGCGCTTTCGTGATTCATTCGTAGGATACTTACCAGCCACTCAGGTGGTCTTCAGGGCTTCCCTTCTGATTACTACACTCATAAACCTTGCCTAGATTACTGACTCCTAATAATAGTAGGTCCGAAAAAGAGGGAAGATTAGGCGTAAAGTTAGCAACCCCACCCCTCAAAAAAACAACCTCGAACCTTAAAGATTTATGTTCCCCTCCCAATGCAAAGAGTGAACAAGAAAACGAAGATCAATGCCAGTTTACTGTCGTATCAACTGGAGGTAGTTTGAGTGTTTCAAGTAGGTGATATAGGGGTATCTCAGGTTCTCAGGACGTCACATAGTGCCGTCGTAACTGATTCTTGTGTCTCATCCATGTTCCATTCCCCACTTCTAATTACAGCATACTAAACTACAACATATAGTGCAATATGGTATCCTCCATCTCTATGGCATATTGAAATCTTCATAGAAGTTTATTTACTAGCTAAATTCGCTTATCGGCTTATGCGTTCCCGGGTTCGAGTCCAGCTTCACCTACTTCAGCCTGGATGACTGGGTGGTATCATCACCCTTCACACAATAAACTGGACTCATAGTTTTGTACCTGAAAAATCTGATACAGGTAAATGCCTTCAAACAAACAGCAGCTATGCAGTAAACAAAAAATGAGAATATTAAACTCAGTCATGAACCGATGGGTCTTTTACCTTCCAAGTAAAAATAAGAATACTAAATATGCGCATTGGCTTGAAATCCTAAACTATATTTTACCGAATTGATGGAGAGCTCACATCAGCTAGAGAATCGTTGGAAAACCAGAGAGTACTGGACAGCTGTTTCGTCTAACGTTTGGAACTCTTCAGCAGTATGCGCCCAGCGGGGTTCGAACCTTATACCTTACGGTTACAAGGCAAGCTCGTAGACAATTCAGCCACTTGGTTCGGAATCCTATGACTTGTGAATTGTAATTTCTACCAGTTAGGGATTTTAGCGCAAACACCAGCTGATGGAATTGGCAAGTATTTCTCCCCACACTCAACTTGGTGTGGACCTCACTAGAACTCCAGGCAACGTTTTCCTGTAATCAGTCAATAGTGAGTGAGTCATGGAATTTTGGCCCAAGTGAGTTGACTAGTTAATGAGCTTGGCCTCGTACCCTGAAGGTCCCTGGTTCGATCCCTGGTGGGATCGTGTTTGCGTACTGCTGTAGAGTCCTGAACAATAACGGAACAGCCGTCCACTACTCTCTGCTGGTCTTCAATGGCTCTCCAACTTATATCAGTCGGTTGTCAAACTTGATGTGGATGTAGGTACCTCCAGTTGATGAGTTCCCAAATAAGACGAGATGCTCATCTTGGATTGCACAGCAAGCCTCCATCAAGCAAAATAACATCATGTTGTCAACATCGTTGAAGCGTCCGTATTAGGAGCCCTACACGTCAAATGACATCGAACATTTCGGTTTAATAGGAATCAGTCAATGGGAGATACACGAAATAAATTGAACAAATTAAATAGATTTAATTAATATTGTCATTGTTATTGTTTTTGAGAGAAATGCAACTAATATCTTATTTATTTTATATTATTTTAAACAAATCAAATATATGTTTATATGTGTATATGAATTAACACCTTCTGTGTTTAGATTATTCGCGTTTAGTGGATCATTATATGCGTCAGTGTATGTACAATGAAGCCTTAAAACTATTGGCTAGTCAACCTACTTGTATCAATCGATTTTATGAGTATGCATCATGTTTAGCTAGTAAATCTCCAGAGGAATTTGTTAACGTATGCATACGTTTAGACAATAAATTGGAATCGAATAAGTAAGTCCTCAAACCTCCCTGCCCCCTCCTCCCACCACTGTACATGTATTTGCAATTTCTTTTATTTTGCTTTTTCGTTTAACAATTTTTTCGACTTTTTTTTAATCTACTTACTTGTAGTTAGCATGTTGTAACACGGGAAGATAAGAGAATTTGGAACGAAGTTTTTTTATTGAGGAAAAATACATCATATTTATACATTCTTAGCCACATTAAATTTGGGCTAGGTTAGAGGAGAATAAATCATTCTGATTGGCTGGCGTTTGACCTAAGGTTAAACAAGATTATCCAATGAGATTATGCCATGTACACAATGTAACCTAAATCCAGATTGGAGGAATAAACACGTCTTCCTCTGCTTCAGTCATTAACTTAAAATATTGATTTCAGTTTTGACAGCGTCAATCAATTAATATGCAGTGTTTAAAATCGACAATCGATTGATTACAGCGCTGTTTTATATAATGTTGATATTTTCCTTTCCTCTTTAATTTTGGTTAGTGATGTAAAATGGCATCATGGAGACAGATGAAGTTTTTCATCCTATTCCTACTGCTTTTTCGTTTCTTTATTAATTATTAATTGTTCATTGTCTTAACAGACTAGAAAAAAATGTATACGTCTGATTTATGGAGATTTGGATTGCTCCACACTTAAATTTTGGATAAATAAATACACAGATTGATATTAAAGTACAGATTTCAGTTAGAAAACCCTACTAGAAACCAAGAAACTCTGAACAGTTGTTTTGTCCTAGTTTAAGATTCTAGAGGTCATAGTTTCGTCTCCTGGTGGGGAGGGGTACGCACTGTTGACGAGGCCCAACCTAGGACGAAATGATCGTACGGTGCTCCTTGGTTTTCAATTTTGTTATTGTATTCCTTTCCGTTCCTAATGGAAAATAAGGCTTCAAGCTTAAACTTTAAAGTTTCGGTAGCAGTGATTTTTATTTTTACCTGGTGTGGTTGGCAGCCTCATATCTAGTCTTCCTTCTTCATTGGGTCTACGACTGGCTTAGTGAGGTTCAGGAGTGAATCGACAGGGTATCGTATGCCGGATCACGTGAGGCGTGGTTGGCGAGCATTCTACCATTGAACCACCGATGCACATTGGTTTCTAATCTTGATTTGAAATCAATCAAATTCCCTGGAAAACACACACTCTGAAAATTAACAATAATTTCACAACAGTATATTTTTGTTTCTTTCGAGTATGAGATTATCTAACACTGGGTATCAGTGAGTCCATTGCCAGTTGAATTCAAGCCTGTTAGGTTACGGGATAAATGGGTGGGAAGGTTCCAGAATAATTTCCGGTTAAGGGTCGAATTAATAAAATTACAATTAGGAATTAAAATGCCATAATAAACAGGTGGGACGGATAAAACTCAAACAAGGCAGCATCATAATTACTGAGAAGACTGACATATTGTGCAATCACGGGTTAGAAATGTAGAAATAACAAAATAGACAGGATGGTTGGATAACAAAATCTAGTGCGATCATAACTAGTGTGACGAATAATTGTTTATGCAATTAGGGATTAAATATGTAGAAATAATAAAATGATAAAATAGGCAGGAAATTCGGATATGAAAATATGGTAGTGTAAATAGGGATTAAGAAAAACTTGAAAATAACATGAATAAACAGGAAGTTTGGATAAGAAAGGTAATGGGATAGTCACTATTAAAAGAATTACCTGTTTATGATGGCCATGGCAGGGACAAGGGTTGGACGTATTTCTTTTGGATACATAGCGTGGGTTTGAGCTTTTGGATGACTAGTGCCTCGGCTATGTACAGATGTCTTAATTTCATTCCATTTGTTAGGTTTGATCGAATCTTGTATATTATTTTGAAGGATTTTTTGAATGGCGCTGAATGTTCTGAATTGACCAGATGTTCTGTCACTGAACTATATACACGTTTTCGTTCTCCTTTTACTAGCCAGACTGGATAGTGTTCACGAGCGCGTTTTTCAAGTTGGCGCATGGTACGGCCGATGTACTGAGCTCCACAAGAGCAAGTTAACTGGTATATGCACGTTAATGTGGCCCAATGTGACAGTTTGTCTTTCGCGTTCTGGCTGAACATTTTCTTGCAGGAAAACGTCAGTCGTAGGCTCGTGGCGAAGTATGTTTTCCTCAGAGATTTACAGAGGCGTTTACGAAGGATTTCTGCTTCAATGTCACCTTTGAATTCTAGATTAAACAGAAGCATCTTCTTGCAAGATAATGAAATTACTGTTCACCCACATGTTGTATGCTATTTAACAACCTATGCATAATATATCACGTAATATGATCTATCAGACTATAAGTAATAAGCACCGAAAGAGCTGACGAAAACTGCTCAACCTTAACAACAACAACAATACCATCGGTACACGAAAACGAAACCAGTTTGGAAATCTTCTGCACTCCGCCTCAGCATAAAGAACAAAATTCGGATTTTCAACACAAATGTGAAGTCAGTCAGTCATTCTTCTATACGGGTCAGGAAATTGCACTGCGTGTCACGAAAAGCATTTCCAACAAGTTACAGACATTTGTCAACAGTTGCCCAGTTCTCTTGCTCCATATTGAACATCAAATAGTCGGCCAACCAGTCAGAAAGAATTAGTAAAAAGAAACTCTTCAGTGGAACAAACCAACCAAGAGCTGATTGCTCAACTAATATGTAGGAGAAAATGGAGGTGGATCTGGTATACGTTGAGGAGACCGTCGAATGACATTGCGCGCAATGCAGGTCATCGCTTGAGTGGAATTCGGATGGGAAGCGGCGACGAGTGGGTCGTCAGTGCAAGGGTGACATGGAGGAGATCATGTGGGGAGGAGGAGATGAGAGACAATGGGCAGTCGTGGACCCAGCTGAAGAGGACTGTAAAGAATAAGATGAAGTAGAGATATATTGTTGAAGCGTACGTTACACTCGGAACCCAAGGGAACAAAATAGTAACAGTAATAGTAGTGCCCAAATTCTACTCCTACATTAGTAGACCTATAGCTCAATGGGTTAAACACCAGTGGACACCTGATATGGGTTGTTTCTCATCTATGTCAGCCTAGAAGACTCGGTTGCGTCATCAGCTGTCACATAACTTTAGCTTGTAGTACAACTCACTTCTATCAGTTACGTTTTATCTTATTAAAGTCATTATAATTAATTTTAATTCTTTTGATAATAATAATAATACTAATTTTTAAACTTATTATTACTTCCATAGACTTCTGCCTTGCATTATGCTGTTACCAGAGAATCAAGCAATCAGATATTTAGAACATACAATTACTAAACATTCTTATACAAATTCTGGTGGAACACATCAAGCTGTACATCATATGCTTATCTCATTATATGCTAATGAATATCGTACTACTACTAATAATAGTAATAATAATCAGCAAAAGAAGGATGGTAAAAGTGATAAACTATTAGACTATTTAGAAAAATTTAGTGTACAAGCTATTAATATGCGAAAAATTAAACAACACCAACAACACGCCAACGGGAATATCGATGGTAATGCAGACGATTCAACACTAGACGCGAATTCCTATTTTCCATCATTAGATTTTGATTTATCTGAATTATCCTTACTGGATCGTCAGTATAATAATGATGGTGGTAATAATGAGATGACATCTAGTGGAAATCCTGCTAATCCATTAAAGTTTTTAAATAGTCAATATGATCAGTTGAATGCTGAACAGCATATACAATCATGTAAGTATATTCTTCCCCCCCTCTCTCTCTGCGCGAGCGTTTGTTTGTTGTATTGAATAAAAAATTTAACTTTCAACAAACTTTTCAAGCTTTTCCCGTCCATTGATTACACTGAAGTGCTTGGTCTCAGGTTGACATGTCGGCTTCTTGGGCAGATGCTTCGACGATGTCTGGGCATTTAATTAGGATTTAATTGGTGGATGGTGACTAGCAGTGGAATCCAGGATAACGCGCATTTCGTCCTATTTGGGACTCGCCAGCTGGATGTACCTACATTCCCCAGTGAGTGATGTTTCCACTGAGGCTTGAACCTAGTGCCCATAGTTTCAAACACCAAAGCGTTATCCACTAGACTACTCGGTGGGAACATCATCACTCACTGACTGGGGAATGCAGGTACATCCAGATGACGAGTCCCAAATAGGACGAAATGCGCGTTATCCTGGATTCCACTGTTAGTCACCATCCACCAATTAACTTCAAACTTTTCAAACGTTGGTTTTCATGGATTTGATTTGCTTACAGGTTTGATCAGGAACTGTAACTGCAAGGCCGTGGGATTGAACTCCGGTGAGTTCCTGCTGCTGATGTCTCAAACTAATATTGAGATATAGATAGTAGTGAAACTGGCTTAGTAATCTGAAGGTGCTACGTTCGATCTTCAGTGCACAGGGAAGGGATGATGATGAAGATTCCTAAACTAGAATGCAACAGTTGTTCAGTGCTCCTTGATTTTTCAGTGGTTGGGGGAGGGGTGGTAGTTAGATGTTCAAAGAATCCAATTTTGAAATAACTATGAAATATGGGATTATACGACTCCTATAACAATAGGAGGTTTCACGATTGTAGTGTATCATGGAATCTCATGTCGAATGTTTAATAAATTGTAAACGAGATTCTTAAAGGTGATGATAAACTTTTAAACGAATAAAAAAGGTAACTCCTAGTTTAAAGAGAGGGAATGAAGTGATTGAATGTGTTGACTACTTTACTTGTATGAGAAGTTGTATCAACTTCAATGAACTGATTACGGATGAAGAGGTTAGATGTCTTTGACGGCAGATGTTTGCATCCTATCTCCCACGTCAAAGCCTCCAAAGCCTCAGGATGGTCGGGGGTGGGTGCCTTGCGCTGCGGGTTGGCCACCCCTCCGCACACCTCTTGAAATGCTCCCATATGACCGGGCGTCTTACATTGCCTCTCCTGAGGAAGTCCTACTCACTGCCTTCACGTGCCGAGGTGTTGTTTACCAAAGTGAGAGGGCGAAAGCGGATGCCCGGCGCTCTTCACCGGGTTGACTGTCCATTGGATGACAGTCTAGGGGAGATGGCTAAACCCTGATTCCAAACCTCCAACGACTGGCGTATGAAGCTCACTGGAGCTCACCGGCAGACGTATGGACAAAGGGCTTGTTGGATGTCCTGGATGTCTGGCCCCATTCAAAAAGGCGTATGAACCGAGCTCCGGTCACCGGCTGCCAATGGATAGTGGACTCCCTACTCCACTCCTACTGCCTTGTAGGTCACACTTGGTTGTGTAAAGGCTAGAGCTGCACTCTCAAACAAAAGGCCGAGCGATTCTGGGGACATCACTCGTACCAAATTCCTATGAAACTTCATGAACTTCCCTTGCATCAGATCGCCGCCCCTGGGTAGCGATGATTCGAGATGTTCATGAAGCCGGCTCATCCTCCTGTAGGAGATAGCCGAAGTAAAGTAAAAGTAAGTAAGTAAGTCCCACGTTAAATGGTCTAATATAATGAGTAATAATGAGGTTAGGCGTGGATTGGTAGGTAAGGAGGGTAAGTCAATCGATGAGCTTTGGAAATTACATCGATTGGGAGAGCTAGAACAAATGGCATGTACTCGTTGCTATCCTCATCCTCATCGAGTAACATTTACTGACATAGGATAAGAACAGAAAAGAGTTGGGGGTGATCACATCGAAACTTTTCATGAATTCATGAAGTCTTTTCAAATGTTGGTTTGAAGGGATTTGGTTGATTTCAAGAATTGACTTCAGTCAGAGAACCACTGAATATCAGTAGGGAGTACTAGACAGCTGTTTCTTCCTTGTTTTGGACTCTTCATCAGTGCGCTTCCATGACTCCACTGGGGATGAGCCAGCCACATAGCGAGATGCAGACTGTCTGGCTAGGGTCTCCGATACGCTAAGAACCAACAACTGGAGACTATTGGTGACACATCTTTCTCAGCGGCGTAGAGGCATTCACTCTTAGTGATCTCCGCAATCCATTAGTTCGTTATTATTCCCCATGTAATTATTCTTCTCTGTAAATATCTGCTTATTATATTTCTTTTGCTTTCTTTCATCTTTGTGTATTATATGGAGTGTGGCGACCAAATTTTGGGTTCTTATAGGGATCTGAAATCGGAATATCAACTTTCTACTCATTAGTAGATGGGTTTGATTAAGGTCTAATGAAAAGTTGTACCCCGATGAATTCCAGTATGTTGGCTAGAGGAGGTGAATGCTCATCGTTGACATTGGCTGGCGGTGGTTCTGTGTTGTGTATTGGCATCAGTTGAAATCCACGGGTCATCGAATGGAAGTACAATGACTGAAAAGATGTTAATGAACACACGTCGTAATCTAAGGATCATTGGTTTGATCGCTGATGGTATTGTCCCCATTCAGTTGATGTATGGGAGGAAACCGCGACTACCAATACACAGAACAACCTGACCCCTCCACCAGGAGTGGAAGATAACGAGGCTGCGAACGGAACGGAAAAAACCTTCAGGAATGTAAAGCGTAAATGGAGGAAAGATGCCGTGAAATCTAAATAGGGAGAGAAGATGCGATGCAGAACCTTTGAGGTTGGCGCGGGTAAATGCGGGCCAGGTTCACGGAAACTGCTCCCGAAGTGGGAAGGGTCATACACTGTCACTAAGAGACATGGTTCCGCTTATACCATCAAAAGAGGAAATAAGCCAACTGCAGAAATAGATTCAGTGGGATGGGGATGCCGGGATCAAGGTACACCTGGAAGGGGTAGAACCAAGAAGGTCAGAACGGCTCCGTTTGAAACTATTTGATGGGGGACGAGTGTGGTGTGTGCTACTGATAAGATTTATCAGTAGTATATGTATATAAAGAAATGTTTATCGGTATAAAAACATCAAATAGCCGAGAAAGTAAATGATTCAGCCTTGTGGAGATATATGGGAGATGTGATAGGAACTCAAAGAAACACAATATGAAGGTAGGGGCAGAAGTAGCACAACACGGAAGATCTGTGCAAATGGTGATTTGAAGATAAGGTGTACATAACTTGGCTGTATAGCGATACCAAATTGCAGATAAACATTTCTTTGCCAATGTCTTTCATCTTCTACCGTTACAGTATGGTGTGTGCACCCTGTTGAAGAGTTTCGAACCTGGGGCGAAACAGTTATCTGCTGATCCTCTCCCACAAAGATAATTTTTAGTAATCAGTTAAATTGGACTTTTCTTATTTGAAAAGTCTAAGAATTCTCTGTTCTCATCTTATATATCTTCTTTTTTATTTTTATCTTTTGTTGCTTTCATAGTATTACCATATGATCCAGGTTTTGTACTACGTTTATGCAAAGAAGTTGGTCATTTAAAGGGTATGATCTATATGCTTCAAATATTGGATATGCATCAAGAGGCTTTACAATTAGCTATTGAATGGGTATGTTTTCTATTATTATCATGGAATATATTTCCGTTGATTTGCCTTTGTTTATTTTCACATTTTATAAGGTTACGAGGATTAAAACGTTTGTTAGCCTATAGATATTTGGTAGATGGGTGGGTGACTAACAGTGAAATTGAGGATAAACATTTCGTCCTGTTTGTAACTCGTCAATCTGCATGTAGTTGCATCCTCCAATGAGTAATATTGTTCGCACTGAAACTCGAACTTTGTACCTATCATTTCAAACGGCTTACTAGCTACCAACAACCAAACAGCCTGATTGTTGATTTCCAGACGCTGTTGAGTCGTTCATAGTAGGTGGTGACATGTCAAGAGACACCGAGGATACCGGTTCAATTTATAAATCTATCAATGCTGGGAAATATAAAATAACTTAAAAAAACTTCACCTCTATAGGATTAAAGTTTGTTTTTATTTGAGGCTTTGTTTATTTGATGACAACTGGCAAATAAACTCACAGTAGATACCCCCGCTCCCCGCTTATATGGTTACTAATCTCTGCAGTCCTATGAGTTATGGTGTTTTTTTGACGCTTAAAGTGATAACTATCGACGTCAAGCATCGATGAACAACACGAGTACTCACTAGATCTTACATACAGTCAATCAGCTTACTTCGATTTGTAATCAATACGACAATTCTGTGTGGGAACATCAAATGGTGATTATATTATGGGTAGCGTAAATGTGTGAAAGCGACCATCTAATATCCTAGAACCAGATTTGTTAACCTGCATTCTTTAGTTTTGCCTAGCTGGAACATAGAGTTTCAAGCTTTGAACGATGGTGTTCTATTATAGGGTGTTGTTGTTAGCATTACGCCCAACTTCTTCTCTTTCCCAAGTTGTCTAACAGCTAGGCGAGATTTAAGAATCCCATGTGGCCGGCGAGTATTCTATCACTAAACCACCGTCGGTAATGTGTAGATGTGAGGCACTATAAAGTCTATACTGATAATGGATTTTTACATATATTACAGTTATTCAAGAGTCAAATAATAATGTCCACTTAATTACATAGTCTCGTTATGCAGATAACAGGAAAATTCAAAGTGGTCTAGTGGATAACGCTTTGACTGGCGTTTGAAACTATGGGCACTGGGTTCGAGCCTTGGTGGGAACATCATCACTCACTGACTGGGGAATGCAGGTACATCCACTAGCTGACGAGTCCCAAATAGGACGAAATGCGCTTTATCCTGGATTCCACTGCTAGTCACCATCCACCAATTAAATTCAAACTACTGCTTCGATTCTAAGGTAACATTGATGACATTGGCTTTCTTGGGAATACTAATTCTGAAATATATATCCGTTACAGAAAAAGAAAGGAGTCATTGAAAATCAAGGAGTGTTGGATAACTGTTTCTTCCTAGTTTGAGACTCTTCAATTGTTTGCATCATAGACCTCACCAGGTAGTCTTAGTGGTGGTAGAATTTATCATTGATCCAGGAATTCTGAATTCTATTAATTTTCGAGTTAAATATTCGTTTCTATCCCCTGAAGTTTCGGGATTTGACCTCCGGTTAGATCATGACGGCATACTGCTGGAGAGTCTCAACCTAAGATGATACAACCGTCTAGTACCCTCTCCCTTTAGTTGTGCACCGGCTGTTCAATGATAGAAAACGCTACTGACTGGCTACAGGACGAAGTTACCTGGAGTGTTCTAGTAAGAAGTCGTGGCCAGTGGAGTCCACAAGGTTGGCTAAGAGGAGAAATACACACACCATTGACATTAGCTAAAGGTTGCGCTAAACTTGGATATTGGCAGAAGTTAGAATTCATTTACTCGGCCCAAGTAACTGAATCGGTCAACATGCTTTGCCTCTTAATCTGAAGAATTTTGGTTTGAACCTCAGTGGGATCGTGGCTGTTATATACTGCTGAAAAGTCCCTAAATAGGACGGAATAGCTGTCCAGTACTCCCCGTTAGTTTTCAGTGACTGTTTAACTTGAAAGAGATCAGAATTCCTACAAACTAACTCTTGAGAATTAAAAAAGTGATCAATAAAAGTCAATCGGAACGAAGAATATTCTTTTCAATAATTTCTCTTCAGGTTCTTACAATTATAAAATATAATATTTATTGTCGTTACAAGTTATGCGGCGGATACATTTTTAACGTAGAGAAACATATACCATTTCAACTGTTCCTGTGGTTCAAGTTATATAGGACGCACGATTAGGCAGGTTCGTCTACGGGTTCGAGAACATTTACCAGCTTGGTTCAGCAAGGGGGAAATTAAGTGCATAAAAAGCTCGATTCGGTCACACTTGGTCGATACTGGACATCGCATCGATGTGAACACAGCTTTCAGGGTTATATATCGAATTCCGAAGTCCTTATCACGTACAGTTCGCTTACGTCTCCTACACATAGCTGAAGCTGTTGCAATAAGATCGACTAAACCAGAACTTTGTATCCAAAATGAACACGTCCAGACTCTGTTCCTACCGTGGCCAAACTTGGATTGATGATTCTTCTTCTCAAAGTGCTTCTCACCCTCTTTGTTTTTTTTCTCTTTGCTTATTATTAATATTATATTATTCGTCATAATTTATGCCCTTCATTCTCTGAATACTATCAAATTTTCCATTTATACTATCCGGACTTATTATTAATGATATTATCTCTTTTCTCAATATATGCCTCCACCTGTTTCATTTCACACATTCGTTATTTCATTATGAACCTCTCATTGCAGTCTTACTATCTCCTGTTTAATACATACCACTTTGTACTAGCCACTCACTCACCTGACACCTTTTATAACCTTGAACTGAATTGTCAATTTTCCTACTCCACACTCTACAAATCTATGATGACTAATCACCACCATTGTCTCCCATTTTACAATATTTTGTAATCGATTTCAGCCCAGAGAACGTTTGTCACACAAATACGACTACTTATTTTGACACCCCATAACTGCTAATCTGTTATTCTACGTTAAAAAATGTATCCGCCGCATAACTAACTGGCCATTATTGTAACGACAATAAATATATTATATTTTATAATTGTAAGAACCTGAAGAGGTGAAATTATTGAGAAGAATATTCTTCGCTCCGATTGACTTTTATTTGTGATCACTTTTTTAATTCTGTATTTTACTTTTCTTTAAAACAAAATTAATTTTTGTTTTAATTAGAATGAAATAGGATTGGCAAAAGAAATCGCTCAAAGTGATTTCCTCAATTCAAATCTACGTCGTCAATTATGGATCCAGTTGGGTAAGTGAAACCATGATATTCATGATACCCCTGATATGAGTGATTTCTTATATTTTGAAGTATTATTATTGAATGATAGATAGTCTATTGAAGACGATGCAGAAAAAGCCAAAAATAGAAGACTCTTATATAAGTTGAAATTAGGTGTGGTTAAACCATGCGACCCAAACGTACCAACGATCTTGAGACTGACTAATCACAGAGTGAACAAGACATATAAGCGAACAATATTGTTGTTTTCAGTTAGATCTTCTTCAGGCTTTACTCTAATTTACATAGATTTATAGATAAAATTTTGTAACCAATGACGGTGATTTTGTGGATGAAATAATAATAATAATGTGGTAAATGTTTTGAACGTCATTAATAACGATGATTATAATGATAACAAAATATTGATAAGATTTATGCAGGTGGCGATAAGAATAACGAAGGTAGTAAGTAATATGTGTATATGTAGACAATTCAATAAATAAATTAGGTCAAATCTTAAAAGTTACGTAATACTAAAGGTAGGTGAAGTGGACAGATAATCAGAGTTTAAATAAATATCATAAAAGTACGAAGGAGATGGAAAATAAGAAAGGGTGGGAGGGTTTTGAATAGAATTCACCTAGGCCAAGGGAGAGACAAAGGTAGAACAAACTTCTTTTGTATGCAAAGACTAGGATTGTTCTCTCGAATTAATTCCCATAGCTTCGGCTATGTGTAAAAGCGGGTTCGAATTCCATTTGAAAGGCTCGATGGAATGCGATAGATAACTTTGAAGGCACTACTTTTGTCCACTTGGTGACCGCTATCAATCAAATGAGCCAAAATAGAACTTCTTATAGATTTTATTTGACCTTTTCCGAACCATGAAGGAAGGTGCTCATTAATGCGTTTGTTAAGCTGTCTAGTTGTTCGCCCTATATAGCTTTCTCCACAGGAGCAACTAAATTTATAGATACACATAGAAGTGGCACAGCTAGGTAGCTTGTCTTTCACTTGAGCAATCATAATTGGTCAGCTGGAAAATGACAAACAAAGGGTGGTGGCAGTATAAGTCCGTTTTATCGCTCTCGATAATCTCAGATGTAAGACTTCACTAACCACGTCCCCATTAAATTACAATTTCATGAACAGTTGTTTCTTTTCAACTGTTGTCAGTTTCTCTTTATTGTACCTGGTGTTCATGTGTCTCTGCAAATCTACTAGGATAACCCATTTGGACCAGCGTATTTTGCATGTATCCTAACTCATTTTGTAGGGAGTCATCTGTACAGATACGTCTTGCTCTATTCGTGAGGCATCTGACCAAATTGACTTAGTATCGGATTGGTACATAACTGAGGAAATGTGTATATTGTCCTACAGATGTAGGTTTTCTATAGACATCTCTCTTGAGTGAACTATCCTCTCTTCTGCTCAATTGGACGTCAAGGAAATGTAGTCTACCATCATGTTCTTCTTCACAAGTGAAGATGAGCGATGGATGTGCATCATTAAATTTTATTAACATTTCATTCTTGTCAGCTTTCACATCAAGAATAATAAACGTATCATCGACATAACGGAAATAAGAATCAGTTTTATCTATTACTTGTTTCAATGGACTATTTTCAACCTTAGCAAGAAAGAAATCTGCCAAAATTGGCCCCAATGGAGAACCCGGAGTGAACCAGTCAAATCAGATGGAAACCATTATATTCATTTAAAAGTCATTAAAAAGAAGTGTAAGAATATCATACAGGAATGTGTTTTAAAAATGTGAGGATAACCTCTAGTCCTTCATAAAGAAAGTGTTGGTATTCATCCGCCTCTTACCATCATTTAGGGTTAGAGGAGAGTGAGATTAAGCTTCAGGTAGGGCTAAGGTGGATTAAAATTAAACTGTAGTTGGAAGATTAGTGATTAGAGTTTAGGTTTGATCACAAGTTGATATCAGTTAGAGGACCATTGGTAAAACAGAGAGTTCTGGACAGCTATTTCAACCCAGTTTGGGACTCCTAATCAGTACGCATCCGCGGGGTTTCGAACCCAGGGTCTCCTGGTTACTCAGCTACTGGGACCCGATCCAATGGCCCATGAATTCTAACTTTTTCTAATATGCGATATATGGCGCAACCACCAGGCAATGTCATCGGCGATTAACTGGACCCCACTGATCACGACTTCTCACTAAAGAACTCCAGGTGACTTCCATGTATCGAGACAATCGCTAATGTGCATCAGAATCATTTTCAAGTGTTGGTTTGCAGGAATTTGAGTGGTTACAGGTTTGGCGATGAGCTGACATCAGTCAGAGAACCGTTGGAAAACCATGGAGTACTGAACAGCTGTTTCATACTCTAGTTTGGAACTCTTCATCAGTACGCACCCACCGGGGTTCGAACGCAGGATTTAGTTTAAGCCTCTTTACGGAACAAAAATGTTTTCCCTAAATCATGAGCTTTCTCCTTTATTAATGTCTAGTTGGATGGGTTAAAGGTTATTGGTTCGCTCGTTTAGTTGAAGTCCTGTAGTTTAACTTCGACTGTGAAAGGAAATCATCAGAAATCATAGAAGTTATTAAGATATGCGGCAGCCTTAGATGAAAGCTTATGATTCAATGTTTCTTTTGGAAAAATATGCATTAGAGATACCCAGGCTTCAGTTGAATAAGGTACAGAAATACTCACCAGTTTAATATTCGGTTAGAATGCCTACTGTAGTAACTTGGGGCGACTGATTTGAATCCTTGTGTGATCGTTATGTCATTCGTTTCAGTTTCAACCATCATGGGTTAAATCACTGATATAATAGATAGCAATTGAAAGTAAGGTAAAAATATTTGAAGCAGCGGTCTCACCTTCTTCACACATAAAATCAATAACAGCTTGTCAATCCAAGGTGTTATCCTAGGAAATCCCACCAAGAATACTATCGATCTCTCTTCCAAGTATTTGTGTGCAGGGATTTTATTGATTTTTAGTTTGACCAGGAATTGACTTTAGTTAGAGAGTCATCGAGAACTAACTAGGAATGCTGGGCATCTGTTTCGCTCTTGTGTGGGATTCTTTGACAACACACACCGATGATCCCACCTACCTAACTGCTGAAGAGTCCCAGACGAGGACGAGTCAACTGCCGGTTTTCAATGATTCATTTACTGAAGTCAATTCGTGATCGATCTTCATGTATCTCTTCCTCTCCTTCTAATTTATGACAAGTGTGAATAAATTGTTGCGATTCATGTGATGTACCTTGTGGCACCTGTGGTAAAGCATTGGCTTAGTAATCCAGGGGCATGTAATTCGAATACTACTAAGACCCAAATTTTTACTTCATTTTGAAACACAAACCCCACTCCATTACTACTGTAAATTATCAGCGGACAAGAAACCTTTCGTCACAGATGATAGCAGTGGTCTTCTAACTGGGAAGAGTCAATTCATATGTGATGGCAATTACTCACTCACTAATGATATCAGATTATGACAAATGTACATTCTGTATCATCAGAGGATATATGTCATGGAATCACTACTCAATAGTTATTCACTCACTGGAATACTTAACAGATATCGATTTTAATTCACATGACATCGTAAGTGCACATTTTTGAAGAATCTTAAAAAAACTGAGATTGCGTAGTTGTAAAAGTACTCATTAGTTTTCACTGGTTCTTTCGCTGATGAAAACTGCTTTTGCGTTCTGAGTGGAACATAGGGTTTCCAGTTTGAGCTTTGACGTTTCATTAGGGGTTGAGTCTTTTTTACGGATGAGGTCGCTAGCCTCACACCGAACGTCCTCTCTTTTCCCAAGGGCTTACTACCGCCCAACTGAAGTTTAGGAGTGCGTCAGCTGAGGTCGAGTCCCAAGCCACGTGGCTGATTGGCAAGCATTCTGTCTCTAAACCAGTGGTTCTGTCGTTGATAAAAAATGTCTCGTGGTCAGCAGTTTCTTATGTATGCCTTGAATTTTGTAATTTATGTGTGTACTCTTCATTCTGGAGTTGTTGTTGTTGCTTTTTTTCCATTGTATTTCATTCATTAGCTCAACATATTATTAGTACAAATGGAAATATGCAAGAAGCAATCAATTTATTACGTGAATGTCCTTTATTAAAGTTGGAAGATATTCTCCCGTATTTTCATCAATTTGTAACTATTGATCAATTTAAAGTATGTTTATTTCTTTTGTACAATGTTCAATGAAATATATATCTGTATCTGTCTTTTTGTTTAAAATATCTTCAAATATTTGTTATATATATTATGTTATCTATTGCCTAACAAATATCTAGAGAGAAATGGAAATGAATTTGACATTAATATAAAGTGACTATTGATTGACGTGACATACACACACATACCAGGCCCTCAAGTTGAGCGTTGAATAAGAAGCGATGAGTTGGACCTCTGAGACGGAGGTGTCACAGAGACGATTATGTAGAGAAGAAATGAAAGCATGTAGGCAATTGGGAAGTCAGTATTTAATTGGTGGGTGGTGACTGGATTCCACTGCTAGTCACCATCCACCAATTAAATACTAATTAAATACCCAGACATCGTCGAAGCATCTGCTCAAGAAGCCGACATGTCAACCTGAGACCGAGCACTTCGGTCCAATCAATCGACTGGAAAATCTAAAATTCAATTAAATTGGGAAGTCAGTTGTGAAAGGCAATAGACAACAAAGTTAGGCGGAGATGTACTACTGAAGTTTTATGTTCAACTCGGAATCCAAAGGTTGAAAGATGAATTTATGGATTGGTGACTAGAGAGTAACCGATGTCATGTGTGTCTGGTCCTTGATTTTGGTACTGACGACTGAATTCTATCTGTGAAGTTTGTAAGGTTGTAATTACCGAACCATGTGATGACTAGATGTCACGATCCACATCGAATTAGCGTGAAAGCTAGAAAGGAGAAACTTGATTTCCTTCAGGAGATTTGAGCCTGCGACACCCAGTTTCCTGTAGAAATTGTGATGAAAGATAACATCAGTTCTACTGATCGGCTGATATCAGCGGTTTGAAACGACTTATATCAACCAGTGTTACTTGCCGGCCAGCCATCTGGATAGATTTGATCTAAGTACCGTATCATACTTTGTTTACGACCAACCTCATCAGCGGCATATCCGGTTCCGACCAATCTCAGAGAAGCGAATTAACCTTCCCTCTTTACCAGTCTTAGTAATGGCTTAGCGAGATAAAGGAGTGCATCGACCGGGGACCGAAACCCGAACCACATGCGTGGTAGGCGAGCATTCTACCGCTGTGCCATCGACGCACAACTAGATTATTGGGACATGAAAATTTAGCCAAACCTAAAATAATTAACCCTGCTCAGTTAAATAACTTTTTATATCCAGTTAATCTAATTGACTCCAATCTATTAGTTCGACCTATGTAATTGACCTCACAGTCATTACATGGTATTTAATAAATATTATATTATTTTTCTTAATTGGACCTCTTGCATCCTTAAACTGGTAAAGTTTGTCTCTGAATGAGTGAGTTGATTAGTTTAAATGTCATCCTTATTTTAACCTTATTAAAAATCCTCGAGGCAGAGTTTCTAACGTGTTCCTTTTTGATACATGTAGAAGTACTATTTAAGCTTTAAATTTAACTTCCTTTACTTTTATAAGACCTTCAACAACATTGACTGTGAAGTGATGTGACAACTGCTTCAAAACTAAATACTACCCCCCCCCCCCCTAAAACCTTTATCAGCCGCATTCAACAGCTATACGATAATTCCATATATTCACAAAAGGAAAGTCAACGAAGCCTTTCAAGTGAATATACAGGAGTAAGGCAAGACCTGTCTATTATCACCGATGAAATTCCCAACTGCGGTGGACTGGATCACACGGAACACAGTCGAGAGTGAGAAGACAAGAATACGCCTAACCGGTAAGAAGACTCTAGAAGATCTGGATGTCGCGGATGATTTATATCTCATTCCACATAAACTCGAAGATCTACAGACGAAAACCAACACGTTGGCGAAAGAGGTAGCCAGCTAAGACAGGACTTCAAGTGAAAATAAACACGACAGTGATGGTGAAGGAAGTCAGCATCGTTTCAACTACAGGCAACAGGACGGATAATGACGTCAAAGCCTGACAGGATTGGTTGGGGAAAGCAAGCCAAACACTCATTATTCTTAAGTTGCTGTGAAAATCTACTCCAGCATAACGAAGAATATCCGAATTTTTTCTGCACCAATTTCAAGTCAGTGTTTCTATACGGTCTAAGCACTGGCACGTCACAAGAATCATTTCCAACAGGCTAAAGATTTTCTTCAAAACTTAACTTCACCCCCCTACTGAAGATCAGATAGCCCCTCCCCTCTCCTTGAAAGGATAAGCAACAGGGAACTTTTGGAACAAAGTGTAGCGAAGAACCTCTTGCCCAGCAATAAACATCCTGAAGGAAATTGAGATGAATCAGAAGACCCACACACTGAGGAGACTACTGGGTGAAACACGAATAGAAAACAAAATTTAGGCATTGGTTCAATAGTGACTTGAAGGAGATAGGGAGTACTTATGGGCAATCGTGGGAACATCTTTTGAAGATTTCAGATAACAGGATGAAATGAAGATGTGCTTTAATTGCCCTATATCCTTTTCGAAACCTAAAAGACTAATAATAATGAGAATTTTCATTGACTGTATATCACAGTATCTAAAAATGAAGTACTTTATTAATATACTACTATAAGTAGTTAGTTACTTTCTGGTCGCATAAAATACCATGAAAATAATACAAAGTAATACACTTTTGCAGCACAATTATAATAACCATAATTTTTTTAAACTGCCCTCTTATATACAATTTAAATGAATATTAAATATTTTTGTATTCTTATCTGTTGGAGATTTAATCGCAGTGTTTTTGATTGATTCAGTGGTACCCCTCAATACTGACGAAAGTGGTGTGTGTCATGGTGTGTATGTGCATGTGTGTGTGTGTGTTTGTGCGTACACTAATTGACTTAAGCTGTTCTGTTCTGTTCTATTCGATGCTATTCAGTTCAATTTAGTTTAGTTGAATTCAGAACAGATGAATGGAGAATATACATTTTACTAGTTTTTTTCTGAAGTATTCTGTCAGTCATGATTTATGCATTAATGATAATAATAATAATAATAATAATAATAATAATAATAATAATAATAGTAATAATAATAATAAACAGTCGAAACGTATAATTCCAGTCAACAATACTTGAATAAAACATGCCATCATTCTATAGAGTTACTCTTATTCATATCTATTTTCGTTCACAGCTAAAACAGATATCCATCCAAAGTTTTGTATTCCACTGCTCTGTGCGTGTTTATGTGATGAATCAATCAATGAATGAATGAATGATCTGTGTTGTTGTTGTTGTTATCTCTCGCATTTGTGAATAGTGGAGTTGTTTAATTGAATGAATATTCGACTTCACTTAACCCTTAGATTATTTATTGATGGCAGATTATTGGTTGTATAACTGGCACAAGTAGCTGACTGCAATTTGTTATGGTTATGGTGTGAAATTGATTCGTTGGAGGATTTCATCATCAGCAGCTGACATCAGTTAGAGAACCATTGGAAAACCAGTTGGCAGTACTGGACACATCTGTTTTGTCCTAGTTTGGGACTCTTCAGCAGCACGCACCACCGCCAGGGTTCGACACCAGGACCTTCTGGTTATAAGTCCAGGGAGCTCGGAGACGATTAATCCACTGGGAACCGATCCAATGGCCAACCCATGAATTTTTAACTTCTGCCAATTCATGACATAGCGCGACTACTTCGCAATGTTTTCTCTCAGGATTTCCAATGGTTCTCTAACTGATGTCAGCTAGCTCATGATGAAATCCTCCAACCAATCAAACAAAATCCCTACAAAACCAATACTTGAAATGGATTCATCTTTGTTTTTCAGGTTTAACTAAGTCGTTACTCCAGATAAATGCACCAAGACAGATGAATTCAACCCCTCCTTTGTTGTTTAGATTACTGTGATCTGATTTGTAATCACTACTGTTAGGCGTGTCAGTTAATCATTTGAACCCTTAAATTATTATTCCGTCGATTATTGAAGTGCTTCGTCAGCACATTTTCATTCCCCTGTTGTTGTTTGCATTCTTTACACAATAGCTAGCTCCACGATGGCTCACAAGCAGCTATCTTTCCCATGTCATTACAATCGGACTAATAGACAACTTGTCTTTTCCAATTTTCGGGTTCCATTCGATGGCCTGGCGTCAGATGTTGTTACTCAACGGTCTTCTCAGCGTGTGTTCAATCCACTTCTACTTACTTCTCTACCTTATTTACTGGCCGATAGGTTTTAATTTGGTTCGTTGCTAACCTCGCTTGTTTCTAATCGTTTCTAATCATCCTTATTTTCAGTATAGAGCGAAGATAACTGTTGATAACAGTTTGAATCCTGTTTCAAGATCCCTTTGGTGACACATCGTCAAGTCTTTGAACCATGTAGAACCAAGGAGTGACTTTACTTTAGTGTTGAGAATCCAGATCAATGAGGATTTGGCTTACTTTTCCAAACCAATCCTGTCTGGCTTTGACATCATCGTTTGTGCTGTTGCTTGTAGTTGAAACGATGCTGCCTCCCTCGATAGGTGAAAAAAATTGAATTTCTTTGGATTTCTTCTGTTGTTATTGATCTGTTCTTCGTGTTGTTAATTAGGTATCTTCATCACCCATGTCTTCTCTCTATGTCCACTTGAAGTTCTACCTTCACAGGTGTTCTCCTACCAATCTGTTCGTCTTCATCTATAGATCTTCTAGTTTATATAGAATGTGAGGGGTTTGGCTTGCTTTCCCGATTCACTCCTGTCAGGCTTTGATGTCATTATGCATGCTGTCACCTGTAGTGAAAACGATGCTGATTTCCTTCACTATCACTGTTGTGTTTATTTTCACTTGAAGTCCTGTCTTAGCTGGCTACCTCTTCCGCCAACGTGTTGGTTTTCGTCTGTAGATCTTCGAGTTTATGTGGAATGAGATTTAAATCATCCGCGACATCCATATCTTCTAGAGTCTTCTTACCGGTTAGGCGTATTCTTGTCTTCTCACTCTCGACTGTGCGCCGTGTGATCCAGTCCACCGCAGTTGGGAATTTCATCGGTGATACTAGGCAGGCCTTGTCTTACTCCTGTAAATTCACTTCAAAGACTGCTGAGTTTTCCGTTGTGAACCAGTAGACATATGACATTATCATAAAGCTGTTGAATGAGGTTGATAAAGGTTTTATGGGGGGGGGTAGTGTTTAGTTTCGAAGCAGTTGTCACATCACTTTGTGGTCAATGTTGTTGAAGGCCTTTACAAAGTTGATGTAGAGATTTAACTGCTATTATTTGCTCTGTTCGATGATGTATATAGATATACAAGTCAGTGTTTCGAATATTCCTCTATCCGTACTGGAGGGAGAAAAGTAACATAAGAGAACAAGGATTTAATGAATATGAGAGAGTAAATGCATCCATGGTATTTAGAACAGTTTTGATCCATACCATCAATATTCTTTAGGTACTGTTTCTTAGCATCCCGTTTAGTCTATACTTCCCTACATCGCTTAAATCAACAGTCAAAGACTTCATATTATTGATTTGACGACCCCTAACTATTTTCCAACCTAAGCCTTTATCAACAAGTAACACGACTCGTTGAAGAAGGCGGTAGCTCAGCATGTATACCACATATCCTAGCCATCTGAATTAATGTAGCTATATAACCTCACTGATTAAATTCTGCTTATCGATCTTTGTTTTTTTTTAATTTTTACTGGTTTTTGTCTACATTTTCTATGCTACAAATGTTAGAACAGATGTTTACACCAGCCTATGTACCATATTTATTGTGAACAAGCTAACACTACCACCTTTGAAATTGCCCAAATTGGATGTGGTGGTCAGACGGGATTCAAATCCTAAAGATCCACTGACTCTGAATGGTAACTACTCAAGCCAATGAGTCACACCCACCCACACACACATAAACATTTCCAATTTTAATTATGTTAATTATGCATGTGTTTATAAATTTTCCTCTATTTTCATTCTCATGTTTTTTATTCTGGGGTACACTTGAAAAAAAAAGGATTTAATTTGTGCATCATTGGATTCATATAATGAACGAATTGAAAATGTTAAAAATGAAATGCAGACAACAATGAAAACTATTGATGAATTACGTACACAATCGAATAATTTACGTTATAGGTGAGTGTATATCAGTTTCCACTATATGTGTATAGAATAGAATATATACATTTATTTGATTATAATTAATTTATATCCATAAATTCTTCGATGTAAGCTTCATTTGAATGCTGAACTTTACTGAAATAGAAAGAGGATTAGTGTTGTGTGTGTGTGATCGTAAAGTCTAGGTAGGATACAACTATTTTAGGCTGGTTGTATCTGTATGAATGTCTTATCTTCGGTTACCGCAACCTTTCCTAATCTCTCGTTCCTAAAGTGAGCTTGTTTGTCGTCTGAGGGAAACACCTCACTGCTGTTACATCCTTATTCACCAGGAAGGAGTACGACTTCTCCCTCAAACCTCTAACATAATGTAAGCGACATACAACATCAGTCAATGAAATCCACAACAATTAATTTAAGCCAACCAGCTGTACGAAAGTGCTGCATGCCAAGTAATCCACGATGGGAAACTTACGGAATTCTTCGAAGTGAGGACAGGAGTAAGACAAGGCTGTCTACTATCGCCAATGATTTTCCTGATTGCAGTGGACTGGATAATGCGACAAACAGTGGGCAATGAGGAAACAGGTATAAAATGGACTCACACAAAAAACTTGGAGGATCTGGACTTCGCTGATGATATATGTCTGATTTCCCACAAACTGGAAGATATGCAAGTAAAAAGCAACAAGTTGGCAGAAGAAGCATCAAAGATAGGACTTCAGGTGAACATAGAGAAGACAGAAGTGATGAAGATTCCTGGGCAGCACCACCAACAGCAACAAAAGACAACAATCAGCACAAATAGAAGGAACCTAAAAGAAACAACCTCTTTCACCTACCTGGGAAGCATCTTTCCAACTACAGGCGGAACTGACGAGGATATCAAAGCAACACAAGCTTTCACTACTCTCAAGTCTGTGTGGAGGTCAACAGCACTCAGCATCAAAAATAAGATCCGAATTTTCAACTCCAATGTGAAGTCAGTGCTACTATACGGATCAGAGACTTGCACTGCGCGTCATAAAGAGCATCTCAAACAAACTACAGACCTTTATTAACAGTTGTCTTCGCTCAATACTCAAGATCAAATGGCCAGAAAAGATCAGCAACAGAGATCTCTGGCAATGAGCGAACCAACCAAGAACAGATTGTGAAACAAATATGCAGGAAGAAATGGAGATGGATTGGCCATACTCTGAGGAAACCATCAAGTGACATCACTAGACAAGCCATTGCTCGAGTAGAAGCCGAAAGGGAAGCGGCGGCGAGTTGGTTGTCAGTGCAAGGGTGACATGGAGTGGAGGAGGTCATGTGAAGAGGAGATGGAAACGTGTGGGCAGACTTGGAGCCAGGTGAAGACTCTAGCAGAGAACCGAACACAATGGAGACGCACGACTGAAGCCTTATGTTCCTCTAGGAATTAAAGGAAACAATGATAATTACCAGCCGGTCACGTAGTGAGGTGAACACTACTGTCTGATTGTTTGGTTGGGGTCCACGGGATGGCAAAAACCAATGAAGGCTGGAGACAATTAGTGGGTGATATGGCTCAAAGTGATGGTTGTCAGTGGCTGGTGCAAATGCATCCACTCTTTATGATTTATAATATCCAATAAGATTCTATTGTTCTTTTTCCCTTACTCACATTCGTGTTTATAATCTATCTCTGTCTTTTGAATCTCTCTTTACTCTGTTCTCTTGCTTTGTGTGCTATATGGAGGGAGTGTGTGAACTCGAACTTCTGCACATCTGTGCAAAGTTCCGCGTTGAAAGCAGTCAGTCAAGCGACTTACACTATATGATGGTAAACTGCTTTTGGTCAAACAGCGATGTACTACTGACCTGAACGAAACGTCAATAGTAGCAGTAATCAGTTGATTGGATATTGATATTCTATTCTAATTTTTGCTGGTCTGATTTTTTATAACATTTTAGGATCTATTGAATAAATTGCTGTTATACTGTATACTTTTATTTAACTCTTTGACTTTCTATCCGACTCCACCTTGCAGCTTCTAAAAATTGTTCTACTAATCTCTTTAGTTTTATTATTCCTTTTATTACATACATGTTTATTCATTGTGTAATGACAGAAGACAAGGGCCAGGAAACAGATCGTTTATTGAGAAAATCAACAGATATTTATAGATTTCTATGTACATTATTATTAGCATTATTGTTAGAAGAGAAGCAACGTCTTCTGATTTGTTGTTTTCCTGCTGAAGATTATTTTGTCATCTCTTTGTGGCCGTTTCTTAGAAAGTCAGGCCATATATCTGTGCGTCGGTGGCACAGGGGTTAGGACTCTCGTCGACCACGCATATGGTCTGGGGTTCGATCCCTTGCAGACGCACACCTGATATCAACGGTCGGTCTGCAAAATTGAACTACCGATAACACATGCTGAAAATTCCATACTTGCACCCACTGGCGTTCGAACCCAGGACCTTCTGGTTATAAGGTGAGCTCATAGACCATTAAGCCACTGGGACCTGAGCCAATGGCCTATAAATTCCATCTTCTGCCGATTGGCGATAATATTTAGCAGGTTCTATCAAGTTAGGCGAGAGAACAGTTACTCGCCTATGGCATTGGCTGGCGGTCGCGTTGTATCTATCATGAATTGGCAGGAGTTAGAATTAGTAGGCCATTGAATCAGCTCCTAATGCTTTAATAGTCTACAAGCTTACCTTGTAATTTGAAGCCCCAGTACTCTCTGGTTTCCTACTGATCCTCTAACTGATATCAGCTCGTGATCAAACCTGTAATCCTTGGAAAAAAAACACAAGTAGCACTGAACAGCTGTTTTGTCCCAGTTTTTGGACTCTTTAGCAATGTACATGGTTGGGGTCACTGGATATATATATGCAGTCAACAGGCACACCTTACAACCATGAAGATTCTAGGTTTGATTCATGAGTGCATATTGCTGAAAATTCTCTTAAACCTATACTCGTTGAACTTCAATGACTCTTGAAATTCCCTTAAATAAATAATATTGTTTATTTTCCTCATGTTTGTGAAGCGAAAAACACCATCTGTGCAAGAAAGTAACATTTATAATAAATATTATAATATATGTATAAAGCCTTATTTTCAAATTAGATTTGATATGATCTAATTTGTAGACAATCTATTCCTTTATTGATTCCTACTTCCTATCCAGGTCATCTATATAATAAATTAAGGCTATTATCACAAAGATAAAAGTGCTGCTGGATTAGAGTGATCACATCATCGAATTGAAGTTACTGCCAATGTGATATATGATGGATCAGTTTGTTTTTTATTTACAATTTATCATCATGAAACTGTTATAATTTGGAATAATTAAACAATAGAATGGAAAAGGTTTTGAAATAATAAAAAAAGATTTGTTTTTACGAGTTGATCACGGATTGATATCAGTTAGAGAACCATTGAAAACCAGCCACAGGGAGTGCTGGACAGCTGTTTCCTCTTTCCTAGTTTGGGAATGATCGGCAGTACGCACCCACTGGGATTCGAACCCGGGACCTTCCGGTTACAAGGCAAGCTCGTATACCATTCAGCCACTGCGAACCGATTCAATGGCCAGCCCATGAATTCTAACTTCTACCAATTCGTGATTTAACGCGACCCTAACCAATGTCGTCGGTGGGATATCCATCCTCACACTTGACATCTGGATGGACCTCACTGGTCACGACTTCTCACTAGAACTCCAGGAAACTCCATCCTGTAGCAAGTCACTAGCGAGCATCAGATTAATTTTCTATAGTTTGGTTTGTAAGGGTTAGTTATGTTTTTACGAGTTGATCACGGATTGATATCAGTTAGAGAACCTTTGAAAACCAGGGAGTACTGGACAGCTGCTGTTTCATCCTAGTTTGGGAATCATCGGCAGTACGCACCCACTGGGTTCGAAGATTTGTACCTCAGTTAGATGATTTTGAATTAGTTGTGTATGTGTTCTCTGAGCTGTTGGTTGAATTTAATTGCAAAGCTTTTGTTGTCCCCCCCCCTTCTAGACAACATCTTCATTTCATTATACTAAAGCATGCACTGAAAAAATATTGTCTTGATGGAAGACGATGAAAGCTTTGTAATTCAATCAATCAACCAGCAGCTCAGAGAACGCTATTCAAAACTCAACATAAAAAGGTTTATCCAGCTTCAATGCTGTTTTTGTTAACATTCGCCAGTGAATATGCTACTTTATGTACAATGTACAGTTATCTTCTGGTGAATTATATATATCCAGATAGAAAGCTTGTCTTTAGATGATAAAATTGTCTAAGTTTAAGAGTTTCTAGGTGGCACACTATGATTCATTCAGATGAAATCACAGTTGCATTTGAGGGCAAATCGCTAATAAATGTCGATTATGGTTATATCGTATCGTTGTTGGTGGTAGTGTAACCTTCTTGGGTTTGGATCTCACTTCCCCCCATCTTATTCCATCCGTAGAGGTTTGAATGACCAGATTGTATAATCAGTACTCGCATTGTGTGTAAGTCATACACTACCTGTCTAGTCCTATAACATATATATATATATATATATATATATATACATAGTTGATGATGAGGCTAAGTGTGATAGTTTTGGATTGGCAGGCTATCATTGATGTAGTTGGTAATGATTGAAGGTGAAATGAAGATTGTTGTTTGTGGTAGGATACGAACCAACAGTCTGCGAGTTTTAAGTCCGACTCCCTAGCGGTCGGTCGGTCGGTTCTCGACATAGAACTTTGCGGCAGTTCAAGTCGCCACATTTCACTTAGCACACAAAGGAAGAGAAGAAAGTAGGAGAAATGCATAATATAGTCAGTAAACAGAGGTGTGAGACAAAGGAATAGTAATAACGGAGAAAAAAACAGTTTAATTGGAAATCATTAGTCACAAGGAGTGGGATGCATCTGCGCTAGCCATTGAGAACGATTTTGAGCCATGTCACCGATTGTTTCCAACCATTGGTTTTACCGTCCCGAGGACCCCAACCAGGAAGTCGGTGGCACAGTGGTTAGGACTCTCGCCGACCATGCATATGGTCCGGGGTTCGAACCTCTACCGACGCACACCCGATATCAATGGTCGGCCTGCAAAATTTGGGCTACCGATATCCATGCTGAAAATGCCATACTTGTACTGAAAATACGGTGTGGCATCAAGCTGTAATCAAAATAAATAAATAAAATAAAATACACCTTCCTACGTGGCTTAAGCTAACTGTTGTGGATTTCATTGACTGGTGCCATGTCTTCGTTTGACCGACACTAGCTCTTTTCCAGCCTGGCCATATATCAGCTAACATTGCCCACTGTCGAGGAATGCGATGACTAGGCATACGTAGCACATGTCCTAACCATCTCAGTCGATGTAATTTCACAGTTTCGTTGACCGATTTCCCCTCCTTACCTAGCACTCGACGCCTAACCTGAATATTGCTCACCTCATTATACCAGTTCACGCGGGAGATGGAACGCAGACACCTATGATCGAAGACAGCTAATCTTTTCATGTCTTCTACTCTCAATGGCCAGGTCTCACAGCCAAAAAGGAGGATGGAGCGGACTGTTGAGCAGTACACACGCCCTTTGGTCGATAGTCGGATATCATGTCTACGCCAGAGACAGCGTAAACTGGTATATGCGAACCTAGACCTCTGTATTCGTGCTGAGATTTCGTCGGAGATCAACCCGTTGGCACTGGCTGATGGTACTTCCCAAGTAAGTGAAGCGGTCAACGTGCTCTACCACTTCACTTCGTATTTCTAATCCAGGGGTCGGTGAAGTCCAATCCTGCAGCATCATCTTACATTTTTCAGGGGCGAATCGCATGCCAAACATACGAAGATCGTTGCTCAAGGTGTTCAGTAGACTCTGCATTTTGTCAGCGTCCTCACCTCCCTACCAAGTGACCTGCGAGATACATCTGTTATTCAGGTCATCATTTCACTATAATCTCTCCACAACGTGTAATCTCCAGATGTTTCATATGAATGAATGACTGTTATGATCTCTATGTTGTCAGTTGAAATGAACTTGTCGCCAATTGTTATGAACCTGTTGCTGATTAATATAATTGTATCGACAGTTGATATGACCGATTGGGTTTAATAATACTAAGGCAATGAACAATTCAACTGATACGCTAAATACGCCTTTTCTACCGTGGTACCTGCCGCTTCATTGAGTCATGTAAATATCAAAAGACAAAGACTGATGTGTGACTGTTATATTAGGAAAAACATGTCATATTTATGTATATTTTTAACTACCTTAATTGAATTTTAGATTTTCCCGTCGATTGATTGAACCGAAGTGCTCGGTCTCAGGTTGACATTTCGGCTTCTTGTGCAGATGCTTCGACGATGTCTGGGCATGTAATTATAGGTTAATTTGGTGGATGGTGACTAGCAGTAGGATTCAGAATGCTCATTTCGTCCTGTTTTGGGACTCGTCATCTGGATAACGCTTTGGCGTTTGAAACTATGGACACTGGGTTCTAGCCTCGTTGGGAACATCATCACTCACTGACTGGGGAATGCAGGTACATCCACTAGCTGACGAGTCCCAAGTAGGACGAAATGGTCATCCTGGATTCCACTGCTAGTCACCCTGATCCCCCAATTAAATATTTTTAACTACATTGAAATCGGCCCAGGGCAGTGGAAACAGATTGCTGTCACTGATAGGTGATTCGGCTAAGGTGGACAAAAAATGAATATTCTGATTGGTTGGCGATTTGACCAAGACCAAGGTGAGATAAAGATGAAATTTTACAGCATGTCAGCTGATCACACAATGAATCATAAGATGATTCTATCAATGACATATTTTGACTGGTCACTAGGTCATGAGTGTCTAGTCTTTGGTGTTGGTGCAGACTGGATTCTGTCAGTCAAGTTTGCAACATGATCAGCATATTAGCTGAGTCGCTGACACAATGCACTCTGAATTGTTGTTATATAATAGGTGGTCGGAGGCAATAGACAGGAAGCTTTTCTTGACCTAGATTTCGTGCTTGTTGGTGGCGCTTGTCAGAAGGGCATATCTCCATTTCCCTTCTCAGATTCAAACCCGTGTCACCAAGTACACTGCAGTGAGAGACGTTACCACTGAGCTACTCAGGATCGAGACCAACCGCCTGTAGGATTGTAATGGGTACTTTGACCAGAGACTAGGTAGTAACTAATGTGATACGTCTAGTCCTTGGTGTTAGTGCAGACTAAATTCTATCAGGTATTACAGTCCTAAAGGTCATTCGCGAAGCCGAATACCTCAGTGGTAAAGTCTCTCACTGCAGCACTGGGTTACTCAGATTCCAATCTCAGGAGAGACATGAGTTCCTTCAGCTGCAGGTACGCCTTGCTGATGAGTGACACCGACAAGCACGAAACGTAGGTCAAGCAAGGCTTTCTACCGATTGCCTACAACCCCCTAATAATCACAATTCTAAGTGCACTGTGATGGCGCGATCCACATAGCCATGTGTTGGCCACATTACAAACTTGACAGATGATAGAATTCAGTCTGCACCAACTCTACGAAGGATTAGATGCATGATATTAGTTACCACCCGTTGTATCCAATCAAAGTACACTGAAGTATCATGGTTGCACAACACATCAATTGGCAGAAGTTAGAATTCATGGGCCATTGGATTGGGTCCCAGTGGCTTAATGGTCTACGAGCTCGCCTTGTAACCAGAAGGTCCTGGGTTCGAACTCCGGTAGGTGAGTGCTGATGAATAGTCCCAAACTAGGACGAAACAGCTGTCCAGTACTCCTGCAGGTTTTCCAATGGTTCTCTAACCAATGTCAGCTCATGATGAAATCCTGTAACACATCAATTTTGTTTTAAGAAAACAATATTGTTTTTCTTGTTCTGTTCTTTACAACAACAACAACAAACAACTAAAGTAAAAAAAAGTGAGATTTACACCCTTTCACCATTCTCAGTCACCTGATATACAATACACCTGTCAGAATTACCCCTCTGCCTGTACTTTTTGTTAGCTTTAGCCCCCTTCTATCACAAGTGTCAAATGTTGATTGTATGATAAAAACGCGTTTTTTCCTCAAAGAAGTAGATGAGAGCGACTAAACCTTTGTCAGTGTAACCTCTTAGAATTATGTAACTATCTCCTGGAAAGATACATATTTGAATTGTTAATGTTGGATTTACTTATTTTCTTCAAAATAAATGAATTTTAGAGGTTAATTGGTGGATGGGGTGACTAGCAGTAGAATCCAGGATAAGCGCATTTCGTCCCATTTGGGACTCGTCAGCTAGTGGATGTACCTGCATTCCCCAGTCAGTGAGTGATGATGTTCCCACCGAGGCTCGAACCCAGTGCCTATAGTTTCAAACGCCAAAGCGTTATCCACTAGACCACGAGAGCCACTCTTGTGCAACGGGTCATATTAATTATTTAATTCAATCAGCTGAAAAATGTAAAAAATCGTTGATGAAACAGTCTTAAAATTGATGCCGAGATAAAAACACAGAGACAACAACACGCACACACACACACGTAAACACACAGGGCTTAGCTTTTGTTTTCTAATGAATAGAGTAGTTTCATCAAGTGAAAAAAGTCATCAGTCAGATGACTTTCTTTTTTTTCCATACACCCTCACACACCTGATTTTTTCATTTACGAAAACAAACAACCAAGAATAAACATTTTAAAGTGTACTTAAAAGCAGTCAGAATAGTAAATAATAATAATAATAATCAGAAGAAGAATATATTTGTTTTATTTTGACAATGATTAGCAAAATTTTCTCAAAGTTTTTGTTCAATGGTAGACTACTTTCAAATCATGCTTCACTTCCATTTGCCTTGTCGATCAGACTTCGAGGTAAATAAATACTCAGAGGAGGTGCGTTGGCCCCTCGATCAGTGCGTTTGGGACAGTATCCCAACCACCGCATAAACTATGCAATTTTGTGTCCGGTACATCTCTTGATGCTCATACCAGGTTTATGTTTTAATAAATAAATAAATATTATGTATAACTACAAACAACCTTGATAGTCTATTAGTCCGAATTTAAATTATGCAAATATTGATTATAATGAATACGTTAGTCAGATATTTATCTGACCAATCAGATTTCACCATATTGTTAGACGCCTACTACTCGGCCCATGTTGCTATGCTATATAATTAGATACCGTGATACCTTTATGTACTATTATTATTATCATTCAATTCTTAAATACTTTATCTCCTACCAACTTGTTTGAAATACACGTTCGAATATTATCGTGTAAATCTTCTTGGAATTACCATTTCCAGTCAGGAAAGTTGTCATGATAATTTTTGCAAAGATTTAACGATTACCCTTGTACTTGGTAGAAGTTCAAAAAGGTCTTTATCGTCAAATTATCTTACTTAGATTTTGTTACTCACAGTTACCTATACTGTCTTTTTCTTCTTATATTCTCCGTATCATTTCCTAGGTATCAAATTGTAGAGAATGATTCACGTTGTATGCATTGTAATCATTTATTAATACTTCGAGCATTTTATCTATTTCCCTGTGGACATAATTTTCATATTAATTGTCTCACTGAATTGGTAAGTATAGCATTATTATTGTTCTTGGTTTTGTTTGTTGTTAAATAATATTTAATGTATCACTTTTTTTTAATCGATAAGGGTCTTGAAGCTTGGATACGTGTTGTACATGGCGGGTCACTGTCTTCCTTGTCGAGCATTGTTAACTGGTGATAGAAAAAGATTTTAGGGATGGTCAAATCAGAACCTGACATCAGTTCATGAAGTCTTTGGATGTTGGTTTGAACCAGTCACTTAGAGAGGTGTAAATTGTCTGGTTGCAGTCCTAGGAAGGCTCTGTCTGTCTGTCTGTTTTCGACATAGAACTTTGCACCGATGAGCAGCAGTTCAAGTCGCCACACTCCATCCTTGTAGCACACAAAGCAAGAGAAGAAAGTAGAAGAAATGCAAAATAGAGACAGTAGACAGAGATATGAGACAAAGTAATAGTAATAACGAAGAACAATATAGTTTCATTGGAAATTATAAGTCACAAGGAGTGGATGCATCTGCGCCATTGAGAACGATTTTGAGCCATATCACCGATTGTTTCCAGCCATTGGTTTTTACCGTCCCGAGGACCCCAACCAGGAAGTCTACACCTTCCTACGTGGCTTAAACTAACTGTTGTGGATTTCATTGACTGATGGAAGCCATGTTTTGGTTTGACCGCCGCTAGCTATTTTCCAGCCTGACCCTATGTCAGCTAACATTGCCCACTGTCGAGGGAGGCGATGGTTAGTCATGCATGCATGCTTCACAGCCTAGGAAGGCTAAGAACCAATGGTTGAAGACTGTTGTTGATATGGCTAAAAACTATTCTCAATGACACAGACGCATTCATTCTTTGTGTAATCTTCAAGATCCGTTAAACCTCATATTTTTCCATGCTTTCATTCTTCTTCCCGTACATTTCTGCTCTTTATTATTATTCCCGTAGGCTTCGAGTGGAACATAGAAGAGTTCAAAAAAACATCTCCATTTCATCCCGTTTTCTAAATTCCTCTTTAGCTGATACTACAATTGCCCGTAAGCTCTCATCTCCTCGTACGATCTCCTCCATGTCACCCTCGGACATACGCCCATCTCGTTGTTTCCTATTTAGGTCCCACTTGAGGGTCTGACGCGCGATGTTATTCGGTCTCTAAACCCTCTCCATTTTCTTCAACATATTTGTTTAGCAATAGGTTCTTCGTTGGATCTTTCTCAGAGCTCCCTGTCATCATATAATCTTCACTAGAGGCAGCTGTTGACACAAGTCCTACAGAGGTGGTCAGTTGCGAGTTCAAATAGCTCAATGGTAAAGTCTCTGACTACAGCACTGGCTGACCCAGGTTTGAATATCAAAAGAGATATGAGTTCCTTCAATATTGGAGATACGCCTCACTGAGGAGTGTCACCAACAAGCACGATACCTAGATCGATTGCCTCCGACCATCTAATAATCACAATTCAGAGTGTACCATGATGGCTACATTGGAAAATTCACTGATGATATAATTCAATCTGCACCAACATTACGAAGGATTAGATAGTGTCCAATTGGAAATTGTTGCCTGTCCTTAGGTGCTGTGGATTCCTCTAAATTCATTATATTGTCTATTATTTTTCTTATGAATATTATCACACATACACGGATGCTTTTCACATGTACACTCTATGAATCTTAATGTTGTGGATATATAACACTGTGGTAGAGGGGAAGTTATCGAAAAGAGAATTCTTCTCTATTCCCTAGGAATCATCAGTCTGTAAAAATGTACAATGAGCGCAGCATCATCTTTAATCAATTAAGCTATCAATCAATCAATCGATCGATCGATCAGGCAGCCTAGAATTAACTAGACAGTTAACATTGATTATTATCACTATTATCCAGTCAGTCAGTCACCTAATTTTTTATGATTCTAGGTGTTATTGTTGTCGCTGTTGTTGTTACTGTTTTCCCTGTTTTATTCTACCTTTTTATCCATAAATGAGGACAATTCTTCCTTTTTCTTTAAGACAAAAAAAAAATAAATAAAAAAATTAAGGTTGAGAAGAAAAGAAATTTAGAATAAAGTTTCTCAGACAGAAAAACAAAAAAAAGAGATCCCAACGAAATACTGGCTGTACACCTTTTTTTGATGTTGTTGTTGTTGTTTGGAATATTAAAAAAAACAACTGCAATCCAGTAACGTAAAATTTGTTTCATTATGTGAAAATCATACTTAGTTAGTTAGAGTATTTGGATTTCTTTTTGAGTATTCTAAATAGATTAATATCTTTGTAAAACAAAATAATTGTGGAATTCCTTTTTCTCTGTGTATATGAACTTGGATCAAAATGAAAATACAAACTTGATTTAGTATAGGCACCAAGTGATACGCTATACTAAATTGCATTGTTTCTGCGAGAACTGCAATACCTTCTGGGCATCCAGACCGATGTAAGTAGGTGATTGTGATAAAAAAACCACCCTTTCCTTTGTTCCTTTGACTTGAAATCTTATCGACAAGTTAGTGGAGTGGAATGGCTTTTGGTGTCCAAAACACATTCATATGCTATTCAAGTATTGCTTTTTAGGGATTTGGTTGATTGGTTACAGGATGGAAGTCGTGACCAGTAGGGTGCAGCAGGTCGCGTGTGAGGACAAATACTCGCCGAAGACATTGGCTAGCGGTTGCGCTATATCGTGAATTGGCAGAAGTTAGAATTCATGGGCTGGCCATTGGATCGGGTCCCAGTGGCTTAATAGTATGCGAGCTCGCCTTGTAACAAGAAGGTCCTGGGTTCGAACCCTGTTGGGTACGTACTGATGAGGAGTCCCAAACTAGGACGAAACAGCTGGCTGTTCAGTACTCCCAGGTTTTCCAATAGTTCTCTAACCAACATTCATATGCTATTCGATTCTCCTGGAATCTGGAGTTCATGTAAAGCATAGGTTGGGAATCAAGGTTTCCCAGCTTTCCTAGGTTGACCTGAATGTCCATCAGTCCGGTTGTAAGTACCCTTTCGTTTTTTTTGTTTTTTGAGGAACACTTACGCTGTCTGAAGGCAGTGAATAACACTTACCTGATAAAGGCCATAAATATGTTGCTATATGACAGAATTTTGTGCAAAAGATAGCAGTCTATCTACCCTAGGGCGCTGATGACTAAAGAAAAAGTAGACATGTGGTAAAACAAAAAAACACTACTGATATTAGTCTAAATCTCAACGATGGCAGAAATTAGAATTCATGCGAGATTCATTGAATTTCATCCTAGAGGCTAAAATGGTCAATAGGCTGGTGATAACATCAGTGATTTACACCATTGCTGTATACAAATTGCAATATGAAAATCTAAAATTGAAAATATATTTTCTTCTAGTCATTGAAATAATCAACGATCTCGATCAAAAAAATTTCTAGATTAAATGTAATGACTGGTTACTGTAGGTAAAAGTGTCCGTGGTTCAAGAGTAGAATGCCTGCCAACCACTCACTTAGTCCTAGGTTCGATTCTAAGCCTCAACGCATTCCTAAATCAAGCGTAGCCTATTGTAAGTCCGGAAAAGTCCTACCTTAGAAATAGGGAGTGAAGTGGTAGAGCGCGTCGACCACTTCACTTATTTGGGAAGTTGCATCAGCCAGCAAACGGGTTGATCGCTGACGAAATCTCAGCACGGATACAGAAGGCTAGTTTCGCATATGCCAGTTTACGCCGTCTCTGGCGTAGACGTGATATCCGGCTGGCTAACGACCAAAGGGCGTGTGTACTGCTCAGCAGTCCGCTCCGTCCTCCTTTAGCTGGCTGTGAGTGAGACATGGCCATTGAGAGTGGAAGACATGAAAAGACTAGCTGTCTTTGATCACAAGTGTCTGCGTTCTATCTCCCGTATTAAGTGGTATAATAGGGTGAGCAATATTGAGGTTAGGCGTCGAGTGCTAGGTAGGGAGGGGAAATCAATAGACGAGGCTGTGAAGTTACATCGATTGAGATGGATAGGACATGTGTTACGCATGCATGCATGACTAGCCATTGCGTTCCTCAACCGACGGATGGGCAACGTTAGCTGACATAGGATAAGGTTGGAAAGTTGCCAGATCAGACCAAAACGTGGCATCAGTCAATGAAATCCACGACAGTTAGTTTAAGTCAACCAGTCACGTAGGAAGGTGTAGACTTTCTTCCTGGTTGGGGTCCTCGGGATGGTAAGTAAGAAACAATGAAGGCTGGAGACAATTGGTAATATGGCTCAAAATCCTCGTTGTCAATGGCTGGCGCAGATGCATCCACTCCTTGTGATTTACAATATCCAATAAAACTATATTGTTCTTCCATATCACTATTCTTTTTGCCTTATATCTTTGTTAACTATCTCTGTTTGAATCTCTTTTTACTCTCTTCTCTTGCTTTGTGTGCTACATGGAGGGAGTGCGGCGACTCAAACTGCTGCACATCGGTGCAAAGTTCTACGTTGAAACCAGTCAGTCAGTCAAGTCTGAGAAAGAGATAAGGGTTGTGTCTGTTAGGCTAGCAACACTCTTCACCTCGTAAAAAGCAACACAAGTGCCAGTGAAACTTCAAAGCTTAAAAAGTTCTGCTTCGAATTGCAAAAGGAATGAAAATGAATTATTGTTGGTAAAATTGTGAAGCAGTAACCCCCCTCCCGTGGGTTACTCAGTCCATTACCCTCTTTCAGCTGAGTTACGACATCCAGCTATCTCTCTTATATAATCTCATTATCAAAAATAAAATAATTTTCAAATGCTTATTTAATGAGATTTTTATTGATTTCAAGTAAGATCATGAAGAGAGCATAGTTAGAGAATCATCAAAAACCAGCAGAGATTATTGGGCAGCTGTTTCGAGACTTTTCATCAATAGAGCATCCGTGACTTCATCAATTGGGACAGGATTCAGGTCGATGGGTTCGTCTTGTAACCTGATGGTGATGTGCTAAGACCTAGTGCATTAATGAGAATCAATGTAATCGCTGATTGCAACATCAACCGAACAAAAGAAAAACAATACCACCGGCACTTGAGAGATAAGATGTGGACCGTTAACACTGAAAACACTTGACTGTGATGTTGACAAGCATTAAATTCACTGACAAGTTTAAAGGGTTACAACCAGTAAGAGTTCAGTTTTCACAAAATAGGAGGAAATGAAAAAGGCACCATGAGAGCGCGCGATAACTGCGAAATATACTTATTTTAAGGTTATGGGCAAAAACTAGGCAAAGTTAAGAGGCATGTATAACATACAATTACAGAAACGATATAGATCTCTTCAGGTTTTTACATTTACTTTGTTGTTGAGTTGGCTTTCATTCGCCGCCTCCCAAGTGGATCATCGGGCTTCAAACTTTTTTCGGTGTAGCCTCACGTCCAACCTTCTCTTTTCCAGCCTAGCAAACTATGCGAGGTTTAGGCGTTTATCGGTCGGGAATCGAACCTAGCAGCTAAATTAGTGATTAGCAAACATTCACCACTTGAACACCACTAAAGTACATCGTTGATGAATACTCAAAAAAGAGGACTGAAAGCTTCATAGCTTTTTATCACACCACCTTTTTGCTTTTCTCTTCTTTTTTCTAGGTGAAGCCATATTTATCAGCAGAGCAAAAATTAAAATTATCTAAAGCTGTTGATTCTGAAAATATTGGGAATACTGCATCAGTGACTAGTTTTGAGGTTTGTTTAATAACTATTGAATTGTTATCATTATAAGTAGTAATTCTGTTAAACTCGTTCGTATATGATGTTTTTCAGTTTTTACACTTAAATAACCAGAAGTTTTCCTTTTTACACTTTGTACATATATGTGACACTTTTAAAACATGTTGTGTTGCATCACTTGTTTGGTGTATCCATGGACAGTCTCTTTCTCCTAAATGTTATTATCATAACAACTAGAATTCTAAGGAAGAATAATGGTAAAACACATTCACATATTCATGTAAAAACTTGATTTCCTCTTCTCTACTTGACTTACGACTGGTTACCTTGAACAGAATTTCTCATGTACCCAGTAGAGCCAATGAACTGTATCAGAGCTTCTGATCTTACTCATTTTTTCCAAACTGAAGTAGGGCTGGGGGAGGGTGAAGGGAGATTTCACTTTGGCCCCGGTTAACTGAAAGTGGAATGCTAAGGCCAATGAACTACACCTCCAAACAATTAATGGATTCGGCTCGACTTCAAGCCGATAGGTTGCGGGTTCAAATTCTACTGCAGCTGGGTAACCAGCTAACTGGGTAGTATCTATCATCAACGTCTACACAATAAATGTAACAGACGTGAAGCCATGTGAAAACGTTGGCGGAGAACCGAACGCAATGGAGATGTGTGGCTGAAGCCCTATGTTCCTCTAGGAACTAAAGGAAACAATAATAATAATAATATACACCTTCGAATGCTAAGCATTGGCTGAGGCAGTTTTCAGCCCAATCTTTGTGTTTAGAAAAAGTTTGTTCAATGCCTCCCCTTCCCATAGTCTTCACCTCCAAACTAGAATAGTTTCTTTTCTCTGTGACACCTGATAGTTGTACATATTATCTTCACATTATTATCAATGTCATACTGTGCTACGGTTTATTACAATACTGAACACTGTATTATCTAATCGCTATGAGACAATACTTATTTCCTCACACACACCCCACTACCCGTACAAGTATACACATTCTGTTTAAACAATCACAACGATTGACTACCTAGATTACTGTATAAACACTTGACTAAATTTGTTATTGATCACCTTCATTATTATCCACCAATTCATATGATACCTGGATTTCAATTCTACTAACTCTATTGCTTAATAATTTTATTATGTAATCGTAAAGCCTAATGAGAAATTACCCCCCACCCCCGCTAAATACGTATATGCTTACATTGTTTCCTATAAAAGCGTAATTCTCTTCATTTATTTCATTTACCCCTGGGATTTTTCTTTACAATGTTTTTCTCCCCTTTAAGAGAGAGAGAGAAACGGGGTGGAGGCAGAGGGAGAGAAAGAAAGAGGATAAAGACTAGTCTTAAATAACATTCTCTTCTAAATTGTTATTGGTGTCGTCAAGGTCTTTGTGTGGGTGGTGGAACCCTGGATTAGACATAATACTTTAGCGTAGATTATTCTAACTACCCTGGTAATTAGTTACTGTCGCTTTTGCTTATCTATTTTTTTATAGTAATAAATATGCACGTGGAAGAGAGAGAGAGAGGAAATAGGCAAGCATTTTTATTTTATTACCATTGTCATTAAGATGAGATATATGTCTTTGCGATAATAATAATGATAATTCCTTATGATGCTTATTATTTCCTTTTTCCCATCCTCCAGGATATATTCGATGAGATTATCGCTGATGATTGTATTCTATGCGGTCGTATAGCTATTGAAAATCTCTCCAGGCTGTATTACACTGATCAAGGGAGTTATGAGAAGGAGTTATCAATTTGGCAGTAGAAATTACGGACGAAGATAGACACAGACATACACACACACTCATTTATACATACATATAGACACATGTGCGTACCTGTGTTATTTACATTTTTGATCGATATACAGGCTTATAATAATACTAATAAAAATCATTAGACTGTCTGTAATGATTGCATAAATATACATACAGACACATACATACATGCATAGCGTGAGATAGACAGGCAGACACACACACACACGGTCACTGGATTAGTGTGCTGTCTATCCACAATATATATATTTGCACCGTTGTACTTTTGTCTTTCCATTGTTACTTACTCTTTCTTAATTTTAATTATAGCGTATGTGCCGGTTATTATTCTCTTATTTATTTTTCATCATTTTTTTCTTTTCTTATTGTGATTTATTGATTTTTGTATATTGTTGAACTTTTCTGTATTCAAGATAAGTGATGAATAAATAAATTATATTTTGATTTTAAGTCTACATTTGTACTCACTGTGATACTATATATCTATCTGGTGGGCAGATGTGGAGCCAGGTGAAAACGTTGGCAGAGAACCGAACGCAATGGAGACGTGCGGCTGAAGCCCTATGTTCCTCTAGGAATTAAAGCAGACAATAATGATAATAATAATAGTCTATCTGGTGATTTATACAACAAATGCACTACTGACTACTGACAAAGTTTCAACGTAGAAATTTGCACCAGTTCAAGTTGCCATACTCCTACCATGTGAGTGAATCCATTTGCACTACTGAGAATGATTTTCAGCCATATCTTCAATAGTCCTCAGCAACCTGAGATCTCCTATCAGGCAGTCTCTAGCTCCCTTCGTGGTTGGCTCAAACTAACTTGTAAAAGAGTGTTGGTTTGCGGAGATTTGATTGGCTACACGAGCTCGCCTTGCAACCGAAAAGTTCTGGATTGGAACCCTGTTGGGGGCGTACTGATGAAGGCGAAGGTCAACAATAGCGTCCCACGAGTGCAAACGCTCCAATGATCTTGACGCGTGGTAGTCGTTGGCACGTGTCACTATCATAGCTGAAATACCAACGCTATTGACCAACTAAACAGCAAATTTCACTCATCACGTTTTTAAGTAATGTTGGAAAAATGTGTTAATAGCTCGTTAGGGTTAGGATCAGGGTCATAATTAGCATTAGGGTTAAGATAAGGGTTGTAATCAGGGTTAGTGTTAAGTAGTTAAGACTAGCGATAGATTTATAGTTGATATCACTTATTTTAATTTGTTTTCTTATCCACATTTTCCTGGTAAGTGTAAGTAGTCGTCGGTCCTCTTACTGGCAACCATAGTAATTCAACCGAGGGCTTTTGGTGAAGACTGCACAACAGCATAAGAGAGATGAACGACTCACAAAAATCAGCTCATCTTTAGTCACCTAGGTGAATACATGTACAGAAACTAGTCTTACTTAGCAACTGATACTCCTAATTATAACTGGGACGTATGTTTTACACTAGTGTGTGTGCTCGTGTGTGCTTACGACTGAACGGACGTAGGAAACAGCTAGCGGTAAAACCATCACGTCCCCAGCTCGATCAGGAAACTAAGTCCCTATTTGAAGAAGAACTAGCTAAACACATATCTGAGTTCGACAGCTGCGCTCACCCTGAAGAAGCCTGGAAGAATATTCAATCAGCCATAGATACAGCTGTAAAAGCTGTGAATAAGGTAAATCCAAAGGTGAGTAAAAACCATTGGATTTCGACTGCCTCATCCGAACTGATAGATGCTAGAAGACTTATTCCGGCGAGCTCCGAATTCAATGAGGAGCGAAAGCTGCACAAGAGGAAACTTACGAAAAGTCTCCGCAAGGACCGTGAACAGTGGTGGTTGACAAAGGCGAAAGAGATGGAAAAAGCATCGGCGATAGGCAACTCTTTAGACTCATCAGGGAAACGGGTGGGAGAAGGCAAATCATAAGTGAGACTATTTCTGAGAAAAATGGCTCTTTAATTAGCTCTCAGGATAGACGCCTCGAACGCTGGAAAGAACACTTCGAGGAACAATTTAACTTGCCTACAGTCACACTGAGCCTCCCCGCCATCCAGCACACACCCGAATGGGACATAGACACTGGCCCGCCGTCTGTAAGTGAGGTCACCAAAGCTATCTGTAATTTGAAACGAGGCAAAGCGGCAGGACCCGACGGAATTATTCCGGAGGTGTTTAAATATAAGGGTGACATACTAGTATATAGTTTAACTAAGGTACTAGGTAACGTCTGGGAATCAGAGACGGTTCCATCAGACTGGGGTAAGTCACTTATTATACCAGTATTCAAGAAGGGAGACAAGTCCTCATGTGATAATCATAGAGGAATCAGCCTAACGAACATAGTCTCTAAAATCCTAGGCCCAGTAATCATGAACAGACTAAGCCGAACTAGGGAGGAACAAACGAGGGAAAATCAAGCGGGCTTTAGGCCAGGTAGAGGGTGCATAGATCATATCTTCACTCTCCGACAGATCCTAGAACATAGACACACTTTTAGGCGTCCAACAATTGCCATATTTCTTGACTTGAAGGCGGCCTTCGACTCCGTGGATCGAAAGGTACTATGGCAATGTTTGACTATGAAGGGAGTGCCAAGAAAGTTCATTGCACTAATCAAGGCACTCTACTCAAACTCACGTAGCCGTGTAAGGGCTTATGGGGAATTGTCATATGAATTGATAACAACCAGTGGTGTCCGTCAAAGATGTCCACTTTCCCCTTTTCTGTTTAACTTCATCATAGATATGCTAATGGAAGTATCCTTAACTGAACTTAACGACTTAGGAATCGACTTGTTACCAGGGAATAGTCTTATAGACTTAGAATACGCAGACGACATAGTCCTGTTAGAGGAGGACGCTGACAAAATGCAGAGTCTTCTGAACACCTTGAGCAGCAATCTTCGTATGTTTGTCATGCAATTCGCCCCTGTGAAATGTAAGATGCTGCTACAGGACTGAACTACGTCAACTCCTAGCTTAGTGATAGGGAGTGAAGTGATAAAAAATGTTTACCACTTCACCTATTTGGGAAGTTGTATCAGCATCAACGGATTGATCAGTGACGAAATCACAGCACGGATCCCAAAAGCTCGAGCTGCTTTCGCTAACTTACACCGTCTTTGGCGTAGGCGTGACTTCCCGCTGTCTACCAAGGGACGTGTATACTGCTCAGCAGTTCGCTCCGTCCTTCTCTATGGCGGTGAGACGTGGCCATTGAGAGCGGAAGACATGAAGAGATTGTCTGTTTTTAACCACTGTCTGTCTGTCTGTCTGTCTGTTTACGACATAGAACTTTGCACATATGTGCGGCAGTTCAAGTCGCCACAATCCATGTAGCACGCAAAAGAAGAGAAGGAAGTAGAAGAAATGCAAAATATAGACAGTAAACAGAGGTGTGAGACAAAGGAATAGTAATAACGGAGAACAAAACAGTTTAACTGGAAATGATAAGTCACAAGGAGTGGATGCATCTGCGCCACTGAGAACGATTTTGAGCCATGTCACCAATTGTTTCCAACCATTGGTTTTTACCATCCCGAGGGCCCCAACCAGGAAGTCTACATTCCCCTACGTGGCTTAGATTAACTGTTGTGGATTTCATTGATTGGTGCCATGTTTTGGTTTGACCGCCGCTAGCTCTTTTCCAGCCTGACCCTATATCAGCTAACATTGCCCGTCGAGGAAGGCGATGACTAGGCATACGTAACACATGTCCTAACCATCTCAGTCGATGCAATTTCACAGTCTCGTCGATTGATTTCCCCGCCTTACCTAGCACTCGACGCCTAACCTCAATATTGCTCACCTTATTATTCCACTTCACACGGGAGATAGAACGCAGACACCTATGATCGAAGACAGCTAATCTTTTCATGTCTTCTGCTCTCAATGGCCAGGTCTCACAGCCATAAAGGAGGACGGAGCGGACTGTTGAGCAGTACACACGCCCTTTGGTCGATAGTCGGATATCGCGTCTACGCCAGAGACGGCGAAAACTGGCGAATGCGAACCTAGCCCTCTGTATTCGTGCTGAAATTTCGTCGGAGATCAACCCGTTGGGGCTGATGGTACTTCCCAAGTAAGTGAAGCGGTCAACGTGTTCTACCACTTCACTTCCTATTTCTAATCTAGGGGTCGATGAAGTCCAATCCTGCAGCATCATCTTACATTTAATAGGGGCGAATCGCATGCCAAACATGCGGAGGTTGTTGCTCAGGGTGTTCAGTAGACTCTGCATTTTGTCAGAGTCCTCGCCTAGAAGGACTATATCGTCCGCATATTCTAAGTCAACGAGATTCTTCCCTGGTAGCAAGTCAATCCCTGAGTCGCTGAAGTGAGTTAGGGTTAAGTCCATTAGTACATCTATGATGAAATTGAATAGGAATGGGGATAATGGGCATCCTTGACGGACGCCACTAGTCATCACCACTTCAGATGACAACTCGCCATAAGCCCTCACCTGGCTGCATGAGTACGAGTAGAGTGCCTTAATCAGTGCAATGTATTTTCTTGGCATTCCCTTTACAGCCAAGCATCGCCAGAGAACCTCCCGGTCGACGGAATCGAATGCCGCCTTTAGGTCAAGAAATATAATGATTGTCGGACGCCGGTAGGAATGCCTATGTTCTAGAATCTGTCGAAGGGTGAAGATGTGATCAATACACCCTCTACCTGGCCTAAAACCTGTCTGGTTTTCTCGTGTTTGTGTCTCCCGAGCACCACTTAATCTACGCAGTATTATTGAGCCTAGGATTTTAGATACTATATTAGTCAAGCTAATCCCTCTGTGATTATCACAAGACGACTTGTCCCCCTTCTTGTATATCGGGATGATCAGTGACTTACACCAACCCGATGGGACTTCCTCTGATTCCCAGACGCTGCCTAGAACCTCCGTTAACGCAGACAGTAAACTGTCGCCTCCGTACTTAAATACCTCTGGAGTCAATAAATCAGGTCCCGCTGCTTTGCCTAGCTTCAGATTGGTGACAGCTTTAGTAACCTCGGTTAAGGACGGAGGACCTGTGTCTATCTCCCATTCAGGGAGGTGCTGGATGTCCGGTAGGTTAAGTGTGGTTGTGGGCCAATTAAACTGCTCCTCATAGTGTTCTTTCCAGCGCTCCAGACGTCTATCCTGGGAGCTAATTATGGTGCCATTTTTCTCGGAGATTGTTTCGCTTATCATTTGTTTTTTACCACCTGTTTCCCTGATAAGCCTGAATAGTTGTCTGGTGTTGCCTATCGCCGATGCTTTTTCCATCTCTTTCGCCTTTGTCAACCACCACTGTTCACGGTCCTTGCGGAGACTTTTCGTAAGTTTCCTCTTGTGCAGCTTTCGCTCCTCATTGAATTCGGAGCTCGCCGGAATAAGTCTTCTAGCATCTATCAGTTCGGATGAGGCAGTCGAAATCCAATGGTTTTTACTCACCTTTGGATTTACCTTATTCACAGCTTTT